CGAACGGGTATGGACATGATTTTAATTTTCTACCCATTTCACATGTAGGTATGGGTAAAACCCAAACTACTATGGATAAGGTAACGGATATGCACTATCCACACCCAACCCGACCTATTGTCCTCCCTGGTTTTCAGTTCTTGCTTCAAATTTTGAGAAGGGAATACTCTGTAGTAGAAAAATACAGATTAGGAGGAAAACAAGGAGGCTTGTTGCAGTGACGTGTCAACGGGAGAAAGCGCGAACCTTTGGGAGAAGAACAAGAAAGGAGGAAAGGTCAAAGGTCTCAAGGAACAGATAGCAAAACATCAAACGGTGTTTTTGGTCCAACAACACGTGCCCCGCATGCAGTATTTTATTTCGCTTTGGGAGTTTGGGGTCTGTTATTAGAACGATGGTTTCGTCAATGGTTGAAGAAAGTTTAACGACGATTTTATTAAATCAGGTTGGTTCGTACTTCATGGTCGATTCAATTTAACGATGTCAACAAATGCTAACGTTTAAATATTACAAGCATGTCGATGAAATACGTTGTGTAATTGCGTTAAGCTAGATCGTACGTTGAAGGTAAGCTATGATTAATATCGACAATAACATGGCTGCAGGGTTGGTCTTTGAGGGTTTATTTGTTCATTCCTTTCTTTGAGCTCGTTGTGGAGTTTTTGTAGATTTTCACATTGCGAATTGGGTTGTTTATAAAATAGCTCTTAGAGTATCAAGTATGTTAAGAATAAGTGCGAACTTTATCATATTATTTGTAAAAAAGAAGAGTTTGGGCATAGGTGTTCGTACGTGGGCATTCCGGCATGTAAATTAGTATATGTAAGGATAATTAATAATATTGAAAAGTGAAAGACAAAAGTATTCGAAATTGTCTTTTTATATGACTTTTGTCGCGATCGATAGATATTTGATGTGATGTGATATCTTTGTATTCCGTCAAACATAATATTTTTACACCGAATGTGCTGTCTTATTGTCCACCGGACTGAACAATCTTAAAACTCAAATACTAGACAACTAATTCAATTTTTCACTCCAATATGATTTTAGTGGTTCGAGCTTTTAATGCAATGCTCTACCGTTTCAATCAGGTCAATGAAATCTATCCGTCTTCACAGGTACAATAAATTTGCGTCTAAACAACATGCATGTGATTGACAGACGACATCCATTTAAGCAAAACATCAAATCAAATTCTATTTTTCTCTATTTCGTCGGTGGACAAAATCTATATCGCAAATGTGAGTGTCATTTTCACGATTTTATGAAGTGGTTTGCACCAAAACGACCAATGTTGATGTCCCCATGACCCCATATACATGCACCTTTTTCTGGTAGGGACTTGGATTTCGATGGACATTTTATTTTAGGGAACAATAAGTTAAAAGAAAAAGTGGGATTATGGGGTCATTAACGAAATCGGTACTTAAGGCAGATAATAAGTAGTGCGTGGCCATGAAAATTGCTTTCTTCCCTTCTCCATTAATTACACTTCTTCTCCCTTTCTCTTGATTCATGATTACGGACCAAGGTTGGTTGCAAAAAGATAACTCTTGTTGAATTCGTGACGTTTTAAGCCAGAAATGTTCATCAAGAGTACCAACCCTAACCAACTTACGTAGGACTCACACAAGAGCCAAAAATAAAAACCGAAAGAGAAATCAAATTGTTCCCTTGGCGGTTAATTGATATTGGTTTGTACGTTGAAAATAGCTTATATTTCCTTATATTTTAAGTATTTCTAAATCTTGCTCGATATTGATTTCAAAAAATCATCTAACGAAGACAAAATCCGAGAAACCTATATTAATGATGGAGTAGTCGTAATTCAACATCATCATATTTCATATTTGGCGATTAAATTTGAAATTGAACTGTTATATTACAGTAATAGTTTTATGCTAAAATCGAATACCCGATTAATAATCACGTTTTGCTTTCAGGGTGAAATGAATAAAATCCAACAATATCAATGAGATGGGCCCCTGTACTTGGGAGTTGGGCCGGGGCAGGCAAAAAAAAAAAGTCCATTGTGGATCCATACGCGGGAGGCTCCGACATGGTTTGTGGATCATTTCAACTTTCGCTAGGCCCGTACATTAATGATCCTTTATCACTAGTTCTCTGGCCTTAGGCTACAACCCTACAATACTAATCCACAATCACGGCCCAAAAGGCCCAAAGTATTTTACATCAACCTTCTTTCTATGTAATTATGGCACGCCAATGGTACTTACTATGGGGAAAGTTAATATGCTAACTGAAGATTCGTTAGCAGATCTTCAAAATACATGAACTAATATCAAAGTATTTAAGTATCTAGAGAGCACAGATTAGTATTCAAAGTTTGTTAACTGATATCCACCATGAATCAATTATTATCCCAAATTCACAAACTAATATCTAGACAACACAAAATAGTATCCAAACAACACATAAGAGTATCCATATTGAATACTAGTTGGTATTTGCTGCTATCTGGATACTAGTTTGTGATGTTTTGAATACTAGTTTGTGTTATCTAGATACTTAGTAGAATTGGATATTAGTTCATATATTTTGGATATTAGTTAGTATATACTAACGAATCTTCAAGATAAAAGAGATATCAAACGTGTAGCTCTTGGAAGAGGGAGTTGGGACTTACTTGCAAGTTGCAACCATAGTAACACTGCTGCAAGTCCTCGTACTTGGCTCTACATACCTGCATATTAGAGGTTGAAAATATCCATCACAATAATAGACCCAAATGAATAGAATGTAACTAAAGCAAATTACATTCATTTAGAAATCACACCCAAATTAAAAAAAAGTTGGTTTAGAGAATTTGAGATACTAAAAATTCGGAAGATTCTAACTCTTGGATTGTTTAAAAGGAATCTAAAAGGATCAACCAATGAAATCTAAACCCTACTATTAGGAGAGATTTAATGTCCCAGCTTTTAGAGAATTCGAATCTCTCAACTTAAAAACGATTTGAGCTATAGATTCACCGCCTCCATAAATTTAGTATCAAGTTATGTTCTTTTTGTTGCTTCTTTATATCGTGTCTTTTTTACTACACACATTTCAGATTTCTAAAACATAGAGGTATCAAATTTCTTAAAATCAGAGATATTTTATATCTTGATTTAGAGACTTCCTCCTTCCAACTCCATCTTTTCCCTATTTTATCCCACCAAATACGCTTACCAATAAATTCTCATTATTAACCATAAACATGTTATTATTTGATTAATAAAATAGAATTTTTACTCATTGGACATTAACAAACGCAGTTACCAAAGAATAAACATTGTGCAATCCCCAACAATTGAATTGTATAAAATCCAAAAATTTAAACTTCAATTCTCCATACAAACTCTAAATGCAACAAAGAAACAAGAGTTTCTTCTTAATCATTAAAATTTATGAATCCCAATTTCTAATCTCACTCTCAAGAGCCTAAAGTAGCTGAGATTCCGACTAGAATACTCGAGGTTTGGCTTAATGATAATAATGAGTAAATTCAAGCACCTAAGGGAGATATTTATTGAGTTAATTACGTTTTAAAGTCGTTCATCATAAGTGGTGTTAGATCATCAAGAAAAAGTTATTTGGCTGGTGCTCACATGCATATCACGTGGTAACCAATTTCTGGCAACCTCTCCCCATTCTCCCCTTTTAGCTAATGTATGTTTAGAAGAAAAAGCTCACATTCTACCCGCAATTTCATGGAGAATTTCATTTAGTGAAATCTTCCATTAGTGAAAGGACTTGCTACATCCATGAAATAGCAATTGACAGCAGCCACGTCATAATGAAATTGTCAAATGGAAGCCGTTGTGGATGCTCTGACGTTGCGTGGAATCGACACCCTAGTACCACAGCCAAATTACCAAAACGCCCACACAATATGTTGAAACTAATTAAATAGGAAAACCGAAAAGAAAAAAGAAAGGAAACAACTGAAACAGACGGAGAGAAATGGAAATGGCAAATGGTATAACTATCTTGACCGGACAATTAATTAACTAATTTACTAATTCAAAACTTATTGACTAAAGAGAGAATTCACATAAAATTAAATTAATGACTATTATTATTAGCCTTAAATTAAATGATCACCTCTGGCGTGCAGGCGAATCGGGTACGGAGCTCCGCGGCGACGGCGTCCCAATCTCTGGTCCCATGTCGGAGCACCGCTCCTCCTAGCAGCAATTCCTCCCACGTCCCCCACCCCCCGCCGCCGCCGCTGCCATCACCACCGCGCCCATCTATCGCCGGCCGCCGCCACGAAAACCCTAGGTAATTTCAATCCTCTTCTTCTAGGGGTAAAAGTACATCGTAGAATGACTTTCCCCTTTCTCTCAATCCCTAAAGACTCGGAGAAAATGAACTCTAGAGCTAGGAAATCTGCCGGCGGATGGGATTAATTAAAGCGGGAAGGCGGTGGGATTAGAGGGAAAGCGGTTTTCCGGGCGGGTTTGGGTTTTGGCGGTGGGATTGGTTTTCAAATTTCTTCTCTGTCTCTCTTTCTCTCTCTTACTTTACTAATTTCCTTAGACTGAGCGGATTGCATTTATTCCCTTTCTGTCCTTTTATATTCCCGCTGTTGGGTAAATGACGCTCTTGCCCTCCCCATTCTTCCCCGGCGCAGTACAATTTGGATTTTCCATTTCACGTATTAAAAAAAAAAAAAAACAAGAGATTGGTAACTCGGGATAGTGCGGCACATTGCACTCAGAAGGGCACCGAATACTCAACTAATTCTATAGAGATTACTGATTAGCCCTATGTTAATCATGAATTATTTATGTCATATTTGTAACTCTTACCATGGAAAAAGTTAATCACTACAAGTGTAAAAATAATGACTATAACTATAATCGTAAGTGAGACGAGATGTGAATGGGATTGGGTTACGCACATCACATTTCAAGACAAATAACTTTTGTCGTGCGCATCAAGCAAAACTCCAGTTAAAAGTCAATATATAGGTTAAATAAAATCGTATCGTGCAATGTTAGAGTTTATGCATGCAAATAAACACCATGTAACATAGATTGCTCACAAATACATGAAAAAACATTACAAATGTGTAACTTTTACCCAATGGAGGCGTCGGAAATGTGTTTCCGTTCATGGAACGGACACAATGGGACTGTGGGATATGTATTGAGGGTCAAACGTCAATGCGATTATGCTCTTACAACTAGTTAGTTTTGAACTTTGGTATTTTCACTTCACAGATGGGAGGTAGGTAACAACTAACATGTAGAAGGTCTTTTGATTCTTCGGGCACATAAAAAACTTAAGAATTCTTGTTAGAAAATCACATTGATAGCCTCTACTCGTGTCAGTAGGAACACACGATAGATATGTTGTATGGATTTGAAATGGGGACATCGAAAGCCACCCTTGCGAAGCAAGTCTCTCCGAGAGACTCTCCATAGCGTCCAACTATCTTGTCAAAGGGAGGCTGGAGACCACTCGCTGAATGGACGGATAGCTAGTCATAAGTATGTAGGCACAAGTTAAGCGGATCATTGTTCACTAAATCAACATCTATGGTTGTGATTACAAGACCAGCCATTCCAACGATTTAGATTATGTTCATCGAAAAGTCGATAGGGAGATATATTTCACTACAAAAAACAACAATGAGAGATATCAATGTAGGTCCGTCTACCTAAACCACCTGATACATGTACCAATAAACACAACATGAGAGATCAGACATCTCCATCAGAGTTAACTGTGTATTTGGTAGCTTTGCCAAATGACCAACAAAAGCAAAAGTGTTGATAAAGAGTAAAATCTCCTCACATCACAATTATATCACCATGATTAATATGCTTCTTCTTCTTCTTCTGTATCGAAACAAATCTATATACAAGACAGACTCCAACCACCCTCTTTTCTTGACGTAAATCTTCTCAGGCTCCAACGAGAACAGTAATCATAATCACAGTAAATGACAAACATGGAGGATAATGATAAGAAACAAAACAAACAAACAGTAAAACTAAACCACTGACTATGAACACTGTATTCAAGCTTTTCCATTCTCCCTTTTCTGCAGTGTGATGGGTTTGTGTGTTGTTGCCCAGGGTAGTACTGCACCAAGCAAGCCGAGTAAATCAATCAATAGTTCCAAAAACAGTCGAGAGGAGCTCCCTGCGACACGACGGAAGAAATTTCAGCGTTCATCTCCCCATTGTCAGCAGCTCCGAAATTCTGCTTAAGATTCAACCCTCCTCCTTGTTTCTCCAGCAGTGCTCGAAGAAGAGTCGAGTTGTTGTCCTGTTGCATCTGGGTGGAAGAGAACTGGAAATTGGATGGGGAGAAGTGGGAATTGTAATGGGCCGAGTAGAGAGGAAACGGGGAAGAAGAAGAAGGAATTGGATTTGATAGAATCTCGTTGTTGGTAACAATTGGTCTTTCGTCGCTGTTGGTTTTGGGATTGGAGAAGCAGGGCACGTAGGCCGAAGAGGATTCGGCCCCGGCTGGCTTGAGTTTCTGATCGCCGCTGTAAGCTGACGGCGATTCCATCAACGGTGGCAGCAGAGAGGAAGAACCCAGTTCGGCGAATCGGAGTAATCCGGAGATGTGGGTTTTCTTCCCGCTGTTGGTCTTCTGAAACACCCTGCAAATCACCCACTCGTTCTGCCAGAAAAACAGAGGAACAAAACAGAGGAAATTGAATAAAACAGAGGAAGAGGAAAAACAGGGGAGGGGGAAAACTTTATTTCTACTGTATCATTCTACTCTGTTTGTTATTTTATTTACTTTACCTTGGCCGTTTTGGGGAGGTTGTGGATAGAGAATTTGCCGTCCAATCGATACTCGTGCATAACCCAATCGCTTTTTTCTCCTTTTGGTGCTCTGCCTTTGTAGAAGACGAGGGTTTTCTTCATCCCGACGAGGGATTTGCCTCTGTAAATCTCCTTGTCTTTCCCCGTTGCCTTCCAGTATCCAGCTTCCGTTGCTCTGTTTGTTCTCAGCCCTGTTGGGTACTTCCTGTCCCTCACGCAGAAGAAATACCACTCTTTCTCCCCCATCTTCGCCTTCCCTGCATCATCCAATACAAAAAAATTGAACAACCAGAGGTTGAGAAAGTCAGCGGAGCAGAACCGGATCATTCTGCTGTTGTTGAGTGGGGGGGTTTTGGTGAAAAAAGAACTTACAGGGCAATTCCCAGGGCTCGGACTTGTTCAAATCGACATCGCCGATCGCTCTGCAGGAGAAATTGGTGTCCAGAACCTTGTTGTAGAGATAGTGCGAGATGAGTTCTTCGTCAGCTGGGTGGAAACGGAACCCTGGTGGCAGATCCATCTGATCTTCCTCGTTACCAACTCCACACGCAACGCTATCTTCCATTTTTTCCTTAACAGAGAAAAAAATGAAACTTGAGATAAACCCGAAAGTTGGAACCACACCCCCCAAAAAACAGCAAAAGCGGGGAGAAGTAGAAGAAGAAGAAACGGAAAAGGCAATTGTCTGAATTCAATTAACCTTGAGAACCAGAGGAAAGCAGGCAGCGAAAGTGGGGAGTTACAGTGAATTAGCAGCAGGAAAGGGTGAGGAAAAAGGAGATGAAAAGGGGTCGACGGCTAAAAGATGAAGCAGGGAAAGGGAGGAATTTCTTGAAAAGGGCTGCTCTGCTGAGTGGCCATACGCGATTACATAAGAGAGAAGAGAAGAGACGAAATTGGATGGAAATTGAACTGGTGATAGCCTAAAGAGATAAAGATGGAGAGAAAGCGAGAGAAAAAAAAAAAGGCTATGATGAGGAAGTTGGGGGAGGAGGAAAGGTAGATGAATTCAGGGGGAACTGAGGAAGGGAGACGCCATTGAGAGAAAGGAGAGGAGAAAGTCGCAGATGAGGTATTTATTGTTTAAAAAGAAGAGCAGTATGGAGGGGAGGAAAAAAACCAGAGGCTTTCTCTATTTTTGAAAAGAGTTGTTTGATCTTTTCTTCCCCTGTTTTCTTCTGCACTTTCTTCTTTTGGAAGGGAGGGGAAGAAGCGTGGGTTTTAAGGCAACTCCTTGGTGGGTTTGTTTTGTTCTTTTGGCTTCCTCCTCTCCCCATTTTCGTTTTTTGGGTGACACTAGCTAGAGGTTAATGAAAAAAGGGGGTTGCTTCACAAAGTTGCAGACTTTACGCGGGAAAACAGTGGAGGAGGTGTCAAGCGTGGATGAACAGTGCTGGAGTTGGGAATAATACCTGCTGCTGCATATGTCGACGGATTCGTCAAAATCACCAAATGGGTCTACATGGTTGAATTAAAAAAAACATCTGCACCTCTGGCGTGCAGGCAAATCGGGTACGCTAGCTTCCCGTCTCTGGTCTCATGTCGGAGCAAAGAAGAGGAGATCGGTAATTCGACATAGTCGTAGCCTCCTAGGGTATTGAACATTGATGCTATATGTTACGCGGTGTTGCTAGAATCATGAAAATCTGTAGAATTCCCGATACACGATTCGATTGGTACGTATGTTTCGGTGTCAATTGGTGTACTAAACAAACACTGTGTGACATAAATTGATCTCAAAAGAGTATGGCAAATATGACTTCTGTATAAATTCTACCCAAAACAGACCGTTGAAATGTGTTTCGGTTCTTGAAATCAACGTAACGAGATGATGGATTGAAGGTGTGGTCGGTCGGTCAAGGCCTGTTCCAACTGGTGAGTTTTGAAGTTTTTGAATGAGAGACTGTCCATAGCTTCCAACGTTCCATCGTCAATGCTTGCACTCATCGAATGGACACGAGTTAAATCTGGTCATTGTTGCCTAAACTGATACATGTCACTGCAATTTTGAGGTTAATCATGCCGAACGATTTGGATTATGTTAACCTAAAAGGAAAGTCACTTCTCAGTCTTATCAGAACACAATTGTAAACTTATAATCGAACACCAACTGGTGGGTTATCATCGACGGATAGAACGATACCCGACAAAATGGATCATTCTCCGTAAGGGTAGGATCGTTTCGCTTCAGATTGCGAGTCATTTGCAGGTTAGGTCACAAAGAAGAGAGCGGGAAATACATTTGATGGAATTTCATTGAATGAACCATTTTCGCAATATACAAAATGTTGTTGCAGCAGTGGGGATAGCTGAAAATTCGCATCCCGACCAAAACAAATTACAGACAATGCAGCTACGTATTATGGCCGAAAACCCAGAAAGGCTGAAAGAGGGGAGCTGCTGAGTTAGTACCTTGAAAATGGAAGGATTCATGGTGTGGTTCTGCAATGGTCCGCTCACGCCCCTGCCTTAACATCCACCCCCTAATGTACAAAAAGGTTAAAACCTTGGTCTGAAGCTTCGATCACCCGACTTCGACTGTTTCAGCCCCGTCGTAATCTGGTACTGTAACAGAGGCGATATTTATATAGACATCTCAGACGGGAGTGAAAGTGGTAAGACAAAATCGTCAGGTGGAGAAAGGAAGAACCACATGCCGCACAGGGAGGGAGACTTGAAGGACTCTATGGTTCAGTGTGGGATCGAATTGGGTCGGAGTTCTCTCAAGGTCGTTGAAGTACTAGATTCAACTCCCGGGCAGATTTCGCCAGGACACCACCTTTCCTGCACACCACAACACGGGTAAACGAATTACTTTTTTTGTGTTTTATTTGTCACAGTATGACGGAAAAAGGATTGTATGCAAGCCGTCGGGCAAGGATGGAAATGAGATTTTCCGGCAGACATACTGCTTACCTGACGAGTGAAGGAAGGATTTGTTGAATCTTCTGTAGCTCGATGAAGCATTGGTTACAGCAGTCGATCCTGGAAATCCGATTTATCAAAAAACAGTCGATATACGCAACAGAAGAATATGGAGAACAACTAGCAGCATGCCATATGAGTTTGTAGTGGTTAGACAAACCTTTCCTCTGCATGAAGATTAACGCCAACTGGACGAGGAGCTGAAACAGTGGAACGAATCGTTGGTCCAAAGACTGCTACAAGCTTCAGCAGCATCTCCAGTGATGTATTTGCATGCCTAAGTGGAAGATACAGTTAGAGATCTGCAGCCCATACTCTTATTTACCAGAGGTAAAAAGGCGTACACGCGAATAAATACTTACCTTTCCATCTGGCTATTGAGTAAGCCCACAAGCACAGGAAGCAAGGACGAAAATAAGTCCAAGGTGATGATTTCTATTTTGTCTACTAGAACACCGACCACATCTGCTTGCACCTAAAACACACAAGAACAGCAATTCAGAATTTATGATTTTACTACAGAAAAAGCAAACATCGGAGAAGGGAAGGAAAAGTTCCGCACATCAATACCGACTGAGTGATCAGGTAGTCGCCTCATGGCATTGATTGCACCTTTGAAGTCGCTCTGCTCCCAAAAATGTCGAATGACCTGAAAAAAGAACATTGATATGTTCAGAAGCGAAATGGCTACAGATAATTATGTGATAATTTACTTAAGCATACTATGTTTATCAGTAAAAGAGTCGCATAGTAGAACTTTCAGGGTACTCTAAATAAACCATTCGTGTGATATGAATCCCCTAAACACAACACAATAAAACCACATTTCAGCAACTTTCGGATGAATGCACGTCGGCAAGAGATTAAGCTGGCTAATTACTTACTTGCAATTTAGTTAATCGAGATTTAAGAGTACTTAAAATGGCATCATGGTTTTGCAACAGATCTTCAATCACATCCCCACAGCCAGAGTCCCTTCCAGAAATCTGAGGCTCTTCATTCTGTAACAAAGAAAGAAGATTGAACGAAGTTAGTACTGGACTACCCTTGTACTAAAACAAACCCTTATAGATTCAAGTTAAACAGTTTGATGCCCCAAATGTGTCGTTTTAATTTCCCTTCCTAAACGAGAAAATTGGACAAAGATGAAGCCAATCCAAAGTAATCTGAACTCGCACAATGGATGGCACAGTAGTTAACTCTTCGAAGAAAGGATAAATATCATACCGCAGTGGGAGGTGATTTATCCATCACAGGCACTCGCCGAGGAGCCTGTTTAACTGTAGTGAAGGCGGATTTTTCAAATTCAGGTGAACTACTTCGGCTAGAATTAGATGCTGCTGAAGATCCATGATCAGCTGAGACACACTCCCTTAGCATAACCTGTGGCTCTCCCTTCTGTGACCATAAATAAGATGAAGGCTGGTTAGATAAGTTGACATCTGATGTAGAGAAATATAGTTTTGAAAATTCTATACATTTATAATCAATGAAAATATTCAGAAACCTAATACTGAAAAGTGAAACCTGAACATCTGAATGAGTTTTACTTTCGGTATTATTCAAGACTTCTCTTTGAGACAGCAATAACAAACAGTTCCCTTTGTTATAGAAATCTTAAATAATCTATCAGGTTTTCAACATTTTCCTTGTGCTAGATCACAGGATATCGTTGTCAACTGATTCCAGAAGTGTTTTGCCGACTATTCTTCCTTAATTACCTTATTAAGTTGATAACTATTCTACAATCATAATTAAGCTGTTTGACTAAGTTGTCAATGCATCCAGCCATATGTAGGGGAAAAGTATCTCACATCTTCAACCAAGTGACAATATGCTACACACACTTGAGCTGACATAAACCATACCACGATTGGAGGTGTACGATCCATTGCAGGTATACGGTGACGGGCCCTATTAACTGCTGTGAGTGCTGATTTTTCGACTTCAGGAGTATTGTTAGGCGCGTCAGACGACATTCCAGGTCCATAACCAGCAGAGGTGGAGTCCTTTATAGAAATCTGTGGCTCTTCCTTCTGTAGCCACAAAATAAGAACAAGCAGGAGTTGTAAGAAAACGTGACCTTGTACAAAAGGAATCCAACTATATGAGTAACAACTACGAAGCCAATTTCTTTGAATGGATCTCACATCTTCAACCAAGTGGTCTATAGCAAACAGACTTAAAACTGTCACGTTAAACTCCTCCATGCAAGATAAAGACCATACCATGATTGGCCGCGTTCTATCCATCCCAGATACTCGGCGACGGGGCCTACTAACTGTGGAGAAGGGCAATTTTTCCATTTCAGGAGTATTATTAGAGGTTCTATCAGATGCTACAGCAAGTCCAAAATTAGCAGAGACCGACCCTCTCATAGAAATCCGCTGCTCTTCCTTCTGCAACCAAAGAAAATCATAAACGAAAATGAGACCTTGTACCAAGAAATTGATGTGCTACCACTTTTAATTATCTCTATTCTCTAATACTGCAAAATAAATTGGCAATACACAAGACAACCTGATAGAGAGCAACTCTTAATGTAAATGATAGAGCATACCACTGCAGTTGTCATCCTACTACCAGTTGCAGGTAGATCACGTGGTATCTTATGAATTGTGGCGAAGGGTGATATATCTGTATCGGCAGTACGGCTGAGGTTTCTATACGATGATGCCACTGGATGGGTGCCTTCTGATTCAGGGACAGAATTAGACGATGTTGGGGCCGATGAGGTCAGACGAGTACGGTAGGTTCCTACACTGGACGCCCTCCGGTGAGAGCGGTCCACTTCAGTTACAGCGCGAGAGGATGTGGAAGATGGAGGATTTATACTTCTATGGATTCCAGGTAATCCATGAGAAGAAGACCTGCGTACTCGAATGGGAGCTTTATCTGCTCCAGTCACAGCAGGCGAGGCTGTATTTGATGGTGGAAGTGGACTTCCATCACTCTCGGGTTTACCTCTAGAAGCTGGATAGGGTTCAGAAAAAGGAGTGACTGGTGTTTTATATGTTTCAGCTGTTACATGAGGGCTCATATCAGAAGCTGTTCCAGGTAATCCATGAGACGAATACCTGCGTACTCGAATGGGAGCTTTATCTGCTTCAGATACAGCAGGTGAGGCTGTACTTGATGGTGGAACTGGACTTCCATCACTCTCAGGTTTACCTCTAGAAGCTGGATTGGGTTCAGAAAAAGGAGTGACTGGTGTTTTGTCTGTTTCAGCTGTTACATGAGGGCTCATATCAGGAGCTGTTCCAGGTAACCCATGAGAAGAAGACCTGCGTACTCGAATGGGAGCTTTATCTGCTTCAGATACAGCAGGCGATGCTGTATTTGATGGTGGAATTGGACTTCCATCACACTCAGGTTTACCTCTAGAAGCTGGCTTGGGTTCAGAAAAAGGAGCGACTGGTGTGTTATCTGTTTCAGCTGTTATATGAGGGCTCATATCAGTAGTTATATTGGGAGTATTAATTGCTCCTTGCACAGGAAGATCTCCATTGGGTGATTGATCTTCAGTGCTTGACTTTTCTCGTCTTTCGAACCTCTCAACAAGAGAACGAGTTCTGCCTTCCACCACTGCAACTGCAAGAATGGAAATAAAAGAAATAACATAAGAGCTTTTACATGCGATCCTATTTCTTTGTTGGAAAGTAAACAATAAGCAGCAAGAAACTAACCTCCATTGACAATCCTAACTGGGTTTACTCTTTTAAATTTATCAGCTTCATCACCTGCTAAAAATATACATTTTCAGTAGCTGGATATGGGAGTGTAAAAGAGCAACAAGAATATGTTGTATGACCTGAGCAGGGGGGTATAAAAGAGAAACAGAATAAGAATTTCAGGTTGTATGCTGTTAATGAGTATAGAATAAGCAAACTAAACAGTTACCTCCATTCACATTGAAACCTGGCTCGGTCCTTATAGTTTTAGCAGGTTCATCACCTGCAGAAACATGACAATTTGCACAGTAAACTACTGAGTACACATTACAATATAACATCAAACAAGAGAAAGTACCAGAACTCCTGGGAGAAGTACAAGATAATTATGTGACATGCCCTGGAGATGAGAATATAAAATGAAGGCAGAAAAGGGGGGTGGTAGAAGAATTGTCGCCTGTATGTCCCTTCGGTACATGTGGATTTCTTAAAAATCTGGTTAATAGATACAAGTGGTGATCTCTATGCAAGAATGTGAGAATTATTTTGTTTCTTATTAGTACGAAAGACATTTCACATAGGAATTGCAATTAGAAAACAATAATTGGAAACAACAGCAAGCTTCTGGTATAAAAACTTACAATTTTCACTAATAGGGGGTTTCTCTGGAGATGGCAACTTCTCGGATTTTTGTGCTACACTGGGAAACAAAGAACCTTTTTCCTCATTGGACTTCTGAGTTCCCTCTTCAAGCACAATCTTGGTCTGCACAGGCACATCTGCTGTAATATCTTTCTCAATAGCTACATTGGCAAGATTTACAGGTTCAATTATCACCGAGACGTCCTTGATATCACTTTTAGAAGCCCTTCTCACTGGTCTAAGCAGCATTCCTGGTTTAGTCCTTGAAAAGGTAATCTTTTCATTTTTTGTATCAACAGAGTCCTTTTCTATGGCAGGTTGCTGAGGTACTACTGTTGGTGCAATAAAAGATTTATCAAGTGTCTGACCACCAGATTTGGTATTCAGTTCCACCGAATGACATTGCTTCTCTATTGGTGGATTATATGTTTGAATTGTGTCCAATGGGAAGACACCATTACCAGAGTTCAGTGAACCAGTCCTTTGCAAAGCAACAGGACTTCCACCACTAGCTGAAATTTGAATGAAGAAATAGTCAGAAATGGGAAAGATCTTCACAAAATGCATTCCTAATGAGGTGTGACAAAATCCAGGGTTGTGTTTTCTTATCTGACCTCAAAATTTTAATATCTAAAATTTCAGCTTTAGAGAAAATAGACAGAGTGCCAAAATAAAATACAAAATTAACCTATAAAATGAGCACATAATGGTCCCAGAAAATAACTTACAATCAATATATATGTTCTTTATGTCTTTTGTGTCGATTTCCGGAGACCTAGAGCGCAAACCCGCAACTGATTTTATATCACTGCTTATGTCTCCAGAATAAGTTTTTGAGAAAGTGAACATCTGCTCTGTGTATTCATTTTCTTCATGCACATCACCAGTCCCATATGGCTCAATAAGCTGAAAAATAGGAAGCACTTTTTAACTCATCCAAATGCTGACTGAAGAATCACAATCAGGTAATGCATCAAACTTTTAATAAGAAATAGCAAGTAAACAACGATTGGAAGGAAGCCAAAAAATACCGAAATGTCTGCCACCCAAACTCCAACGGTATTATGATAGTATGAGCAACCCAAAAGTTTCCCATCTTGAATGCAGAGGTCACCAAGGGTAGACCATCCCATGTCCACTGAATCATGACAAATCACAGGCTCCCAAGAATATATCTGCAATCCACAAAGCAAAGCTTGAGCTAATGCCCTCAATAAGTTAACTTAAGAAGTATGATACTGGGAGCATTCCAAACCTTGAGATTATCGTCTAATCCACAAAAAAGTGTCCTTCCATCAGGATGAAACGCCATAGAGCGTACTCCCGTTGCCTGGAAAAGAGCAATTAAATTTTAGGAACTGGAATTCCACTAGCACCAGCGCACAAATTGTTGCTAGCCTCAAATTAACAGGAATTGGAAGCGATACTCTATCCCAATTGAACCACACAGTGAAGAAATAAATAAATTATTGTCCGAAGGAAGAGATATCTTAAAGACTTGTTACTTAGATGGCTAACCAAACTGCTGACAATATTTCTGGTTAAATAGGCTTGGAATTCTACATTTGACATACCTCGGGTCTAGCTGATCCAATTAATTCGAATGTTTCAAGATCCCAGAATTTCACAGTTCGATCAGCAGAACCTGAACATAAAATGCATATGTTAACGACTTAATAGGAAAATTTACTTCACAAATCATCATTACGATTATTTTTCTTTTCTGGCGCAAATAGTCATGTAAATCAAACAGCAAAGCACCCACCTGTCGCTAAGAGAAACTCAAGGGGATGGAAGTCTAATGATCTGATAGGTCCTTCATGGAATTTAAAATCGTGTAAAAGCTTTCCTGCAGTAAGATCCCACACCTATTGAAATAGTAACAAAATATCAATCAAGTGGCACAAACTAAATCCCAAAACAGGCATTGGAATAAAATGTTCTGATCAATCAATACATTGGAGACCCGAAAAGAAAGATAGAGACCACACAAAGAAAAATCAATACCAACCTTTACAGCATTATCAAATCCACCAGACACAACCCAGCGGCCATCAGGAGTGAATTTAATGGTACTAATGGCTTGACTGTGGCCCTTGTATGTGTGAATGCATCCTTTCTTTCTGATATCCCATATCCTCAGATTCGTGTCCGCAGAACCAGATGCAAAGAATTCACCAAATGGATGAAACTCAACGGCATTGCAGTCGGATCTGTGTCCAGTAAGAGTGCGAACCACTACACTTCAAGAATAACCAGAAATATTATTAGGACTCCCGATGAAAAGAATCAAGTGTCCTACAGGAACAAATCAGAGCTGAAATTGCAAGGATCTAAAAAGGGGGGGAAATTGCATTCTCTACTACCTTCTTCGATGGAATCAAATCTATCAAGAAAAATGGCATCAACAACTCACTTCTCTGTTCAGCATTTCAATGCCAATTCACCATACCTCTTACATGAAACAAGGCAAAATAATAAAGTAGAACAGTGAACCAACTTACTTTTTGCTTCTTCTAAATCCCACATTTTTATTGCACCAGCAGAAGACCCAGCAAGCACCAAAACTTCAGCAGCATCAAATGCTACGGATCCAACTGGACTCGTGTGGCCGCATAAACTCTGTGAAAATTCGAAGAACAATATCAAAACTTCTTCCAGAAAACCAAGCTCCCACCACACCCATAATAGTTGTTGCACGACTTAAAGATGCAATGTAAAAAATCTCCGGAGCCAAATGAACCTAAATATATTCAGAAGACCATTAACTGCATTTATGCAGCTAGCGTGTCAAAAAAAGGAAAGAAATTCACAGCAGAAGCCCAATGGCCAGGACAGAGCAAATCCCTTTAAGAGGGTAGAGATAACAAATATGCTACTACTTTGGGCTAGCTTGGAGAAGATTATAGTTAAGAGAAACGAAACCAACCATCAAAGAAGTAGGTTTGCCAATCGACCATAGATTCACTTTGTGATCATCCCCACCCGTGATGAACAGTCTACCGGCCTTTCTTCCTATGCTCAGGCAATTCACATTGCTGGAGTGCGCCACAAATTCCTCTATGTCATTTTAAGTCAAGGAAAAATGGGAAGTGGTAAAAAAGAAAAGGAAACGAAACATAGGCAACAGAATGTAAATCAAGACAATTCCTAAAGGAAATACTGAAACTAGGTCAAGAAACCACAGTAATAGTAACTAGACATTAAATGCTCAGAAGGTTGAACAAGAAATGCAAATCTAACGGAGCTCAGATAGCTCAAATCTCACACTCCTTCTAATCGTCTGTACAAACTCTCAATAATCAGCACATAGTTCCGCTAATCCAACTCCAAAAGAGAGCTTAAATCTCACTCGCTGAAACACCAAATGGAGTTGCAGCTCAAGAATCACCAAACGAAAAGCAAAAAAAGAAAAGAGGGGGGCATCGGAGGCACTAGGAGCTCTAGTTCAACGCACAATCTCGCAAATTCGAGTCTCAGATAGCTTAAATCTTACTCCCTGAAACGAGAACTAAAACACCAACGAATTCGCAATCAAAATCTCAGAAGCGAAGGCAAAAAAAAAAAAGTAGAGCAAGTCGCTAGCATTCAGAGCTCGAATTCAGGGCAGAATCGCAGCTAATCCCTGCCAACAAGCGACGCTAATCCGACTCTAAGACAAACTTAATTCTCACTCCCGCAGCAAGACACCGACGAACATTTTGCTGCCCAAAAAAAAAAAAAAATCACCCAGATAGATGAAATCAGGCAGCATTCAGAGAGCTCTCTAGTTCAACGCTAATCCAGCCGAGGGGGGAACAAGAAATGCGTAATTCAAAGCCTCAACTAGTCAAACAGTTTGGCAGCGAACAAAGAGGATACGCAGCTTATATCCACGCTTCGCCATCTTCTCCTTGTTTTTCTCCGTTCAACTCCGGCGACAATCTAGCCTCAAAAGGAAATCCCGGAGATCAGAGGAAGAGGAAGCGCCGACGGAGCAAAAAGAAGAAGGAAACTCGCCGGGAAACGCAGCCAGGTAATATTATCCCGGATTCCGAAGCGAGGAAGATTAGAGGAGTGCAAGAATTTTCGCCTGGACGGTGGATTGTGGCTGTGTTTGCGTCTTTCGAGACACGGTAGTGTGTGAAAGGAGATTATGGACAGAGAGAGGGAGAGGAAGAACAGGAGGAGGGGAAAATGTAAAAAAAAAGGAAAAATTCAGATCTTAATTCCTTTCTTACAGACATGAAAGGGAAGGAAGGAAGAAGGAGAGAGCCTGACAGCCATATTCTTTTTTATTTTTTCACTTAGTTTATTTATTTGGATTGGAATTTGACCAAAATAGCCTTGTGGTTCAAATTTAGCATGAGTCGTGCATACAAGTATGCAAAAGATGGGTTGGTTGGATTTTGCATGATGGTCACGGCCCAGCCGCGACCATTGAATGAATGTCCCCGCGCGTTGATAAGGCAATAGTGATTACGTTTTAATAGATTGTATCTTGTGTCGTGTGAGTACTATAATTAAGTTGAGGCTAATTAAACTCTAAGCACTTAATTTTGTCTATGTACAGATTGAGTTTCGAGTCCAAGTCGAATCTTCTATAAAGTTTTTTTGTAAGGTATTTAAGCTAATAAGATATACAGGGTTGTGCGGGCTATCGATTTGAGAAGTATGGGAATATCATAAACCCACCTATTTATTGTTCTGTTTATTGAGATTTACACTTCAGTTCGATAGGTAAGAATCGTCGTCGCCAGATGACTGTCAAACAATATTAGATTTTTTTTTGTTTTTGTTTTAATCATGTGTTCGAAAATAATAGCGAAATTTACTACCCTTTTACTTACATGATGCTTATTATCTTTATAGTGTGTGGTTTGAGATGGAACGTTGAAATATTAAAACGTTAAACGTTACATTTCTCCAACCACGAGACCACGAGGGGCTGAGGGAGCGGGGGCAAGAAGGAGACAAGACGACTGAACGGCCCACCACCACCATGTCGCCGTCGGTGGCCAAAAGTTTGGTTTTCCGATGAGTTAATGTTTGTTTCATGTTTGCTTTTGTTCTTTTCGTTCGATACAATGAAGGCACAAAGACCCAAACTCATTTGGGTTTGTGGGTATTGTATAGTATTGTTGGGTTGGTAATTAGTGAAACTGTTAGTAAGTAAAATTGTTCAGGTTTCGTAAGTATATTATGGACGACTCACATACTAGCGTACATATATATATGTGAGAAGTGAGAACATCCATAATTTTTGTTCATGTTTAAGTCAAAATTTCCACTTTTGTCTCTTGTTTTCGTGATTTATGCACGTGTCACTATGTTTTATTCATGATGATGCGTAGGTGATACTGCACATGATTAACACGAAGGATTCGACGTACGCAATAAGTGGCGGCCTCCTATCCGAAATTCAGACCCGTCAATCCTCTTTGCAGCGTGCCTCCTTTCACTTCGTCCAGTATAGATATAATAAGACTCTCGAACAATTTCACCATTCGAACTTATGTCAAAGAATTTTTTTCATCCACCTCGCTCCTCAATCAATCAATAAATGACATACATGGGACTCAAGTCATTTACACCAATTCATTTCGAATCGGTGTTAATGGTAATTAATTAATTAATCCCTTCATTTACTTTCTTTTCCGTGGTCCATTCGTTCTGAGGAAGTACATGGTTTATTGTTTATTTGGGCCTCTGAGAGCCCACCACCCACCGGTCAATTATTTAAAATGAAACTAGTTTGGGCCACCTCTCTCATATTCAGAGAACCGACTTTGAGATTTAACTAATTAAGGAAATTAATAATGTAATTAGCAACTCAATTAATTAACGTTTAAGCACAACTACTCCTTTCATGTTCGTTGCTGAGCAATGACAGCTGAGCCGAACCTTTCTTACTAAATAAACTCCTTCTTTTTTATTTTGTGATGATGATGATGCTTAGGTTTTAACTAGATCGTAGCCGCATCATTTACAATTTGCATAGAGGATTGGTGCAACCAACGATCGATTAGCTAGCTTAACAATAGGTTTTTTTTTGGACTTGTTCGTGGATGGATATTCTTCACCCAACTCCGTTACAATCATTAGAGGGTTGTGCTATACTTTTAGACTACCACTTTGTTGTTGGGGAAGTTCAGTGTGTGATGACGTCGTTTAATCGCCTCCTCAAAAATTCTTCAACGTCGTTGGATTCAATGTGATAACGCTTTTCTACTTAAAGTTATACGTGTTTGATCCAACGGCTCAAAACACATGCCAGGTAATCGCCCCCTTGTTATTAATCTCTGGCTTAGTTAGGCAGGATAGCATCTTGGAAGTAACGAATTGAAGGGGGGAAATATTTGCGTTCTTAGTGAGATTGAAACTAAATTGAACGATTGATGTAGTGAACTTTTTTACCCATTAGACCAGATCTTTATTTAAGAAGTCATTTTGAACTGATATGACCTAAAAAGCTCCAGACTTTATCATGACAAATGAAATTCATTTCTGGTCAATCAAAATGTTTAGAATGAAAACTCAATATAATTCATCTTATGGTAAATCATGTCGTAGCCATTGAATTTAGAAGAATCCCTTCTTCTATGAGTATGCTGTATGCTCAAAACATGCATTGCACTTTTTGCTCTAACCCATCATTTCACACCACTATGGAGCCAATAATTGTGGAGGTAGAGAGCTAAGAGGGAGAGCTGAATTGGGTTCCATCTAATAATTATAAGTATAGTGCATGACAGATCCAAACCCTGTAATCAATTGGCTAAGCTTTCCAGCAATAAGGGGAAAAAAGGCGCAATCATATGATATGTGTAAATCTTAGTGCAGTCGACCTGAAAGTTAGTAGTACTGAATTTTGTGATGTTACATAAAAAAGCAAAGGAAATTTTGTGAGCCGTTGCCAATGGCGAAAAGGACATTTCACAGACCAGACCGACCTGATCTGGTGGGGGCTTGGTTGCTGGAGTTAATAAAGTTAACTTGGATTGACTGTCAAAACTGCGAGCAGCAGAGTTTTTGGATTCTCTGAATAGTGAAATGCCAAAGTTCGAGAGAGAGAGAGAGAGAGTAAATGGGGGACTTGTCCTTTTGTTCTCTATCCACAATGCATTAAATTTACCCATACCGTATGAATATGATAACAATATTTTTTTAACCCTGAATAGTTAAATGTTTTGAGTTTGAGCCGGATTTCGTAACATCCTGATTCCACTAACTTAAATTGTTAGAAGACGTTCATGTATAATACTTAATCATATTTGTATAATATTTAATCTCATACGAAAGCTAATTCATGAGTTTGAAATTTGTACAGACTCGTCATGTTTTATGCTTTAAAGACAACGATTAATATTGGAGATACCGAGGATTGGAACACGTAACATCAACAACAGCCCAACTCCTTAACCACTTCATTAAAGATTTCACCCCCTCTCGTTTACTTTCTACCACACGGTAGTGTAGATGTCCCTTTCGGGGACATCCGTTACTACAATAATGTAGCAGGGAAATTCAATTTAGTCTGTGACATATGAACTTCCCTTCAACGACTTTCTGCCTAACCGAACACTGGTTTACCAGTTGAATAAGGCTCATACATCAAGTCCTGCAACGAAATGAGTTGCTATTCAAGGAACGATGTATAAGCAGGCCCAACTCTCTCATATGAGAGGCAATTGATTGAAAGAAGGGGAAAAAAAAAAAACAAGGATGCCACAAAAGGCTCTCAAAGTGAACGACCTACTCCAAATGTGGATCGAGTTGACCCTAACGAACCCTCAATAATATCATAAGTCACCTATAACATCGTCCAGGAGAAAGCTCTCCCCACCTCAAGATCAGGAAGCTCGAAAAGCTCACCATTCGAATCTTAGTGAGCCCATTTGTTTGTTAAGCACATGATTAATTGCTGGACCTATGCAAACTTCAAACATATATGGAGGGCTTTCGTTTTATGGGGTATGTTAGTAAATAATATATAATCTATAAATAAATCTCTATCAACAACTCGAGTTATTGCAATTTTTTTTTTTTTGCCTTCTATTCTCCATGCAAGGCTTTGAATGATGTTCTATGAGAGCAATTTAGTCATGCGACCCATGATGAGCTATTATTTATGGGCTAAAAAACCCCGACGTGAATGTCTTTTTCTTCAACCCTTTTCCCATGTGGACTGGAACACAATCAAGGCGGTGATCGCTGTCCACGTTCAGGATGTTTGTCGTGGAGCAGGATTATCTTAAGAAACCATGATTAAGGAAAAAAGACATAATTAGGAAGACGAAGAAGAAGATTGGCTAACTTAATACTAGTATTAATATTTTGACTGTCATGGAAGCAGCCGACATCTCAGACCAATAGGATTCGTCGACTTGCCTACCCATATGGAAGCCAAAAGAGGGTTTGTTCTCTAAATCTATACAATTTCTTTCGAGTTTCGACTTTAATTTCTTTCACCTAGTTCTTTGAATTTTTTTAAAGATTAATTAAAGGGTAAATACTACATTAGGCCACTGAGATTACTAAATTGTGTCATGTTTAGTCACTAGGAAAAATTTAATATCAATTTTGGTCACTTGAATAACTAAAAATTTTCACATTCAGTCACTCTTCGGTTAGCCTCCGTCCAACTCCGGTCACCCAAACAAGAGATTCCTGCTCCGAACTATGGTGCTTTATCTAAGTGAGAATTCATCAAACAAGACAAGAATGTGAAGAAGAAGAAGCTGATACGAAAACCCGTCTCCGGCAAGCGAAGTTGATATGAATGAACAACAACTCAACTCAATTTCAGCTCAAAACTTCAAATCAGAAGAATCATCGTATTTTTCCTGTTTTTCTGGGCTTGGATCACTACTTAGCTTCGGCAATGGGCTAAGTCACATTATGTTTGGTGTTTTTTCAGTGGGCCTGAGCAGCCCATTAGCCTGCTATCCTCTTCCTGGATTTTCCTCCATTATCTGATCCACTTAATTAATGGACTTTCTGATTAGTTTTTGGCATGAGAATTGTTCTCGCGATTATTCCCTCCCATGGGAGAAAAAGGTTTGTGGTCTCTCGAGGAGCCCCAGAGCACATTCCGGGAGTTTGACGATGTCATTCAGTGTTATTTATGTGACGCATTAAAACACTAAAATTTTAGAACATTTATCTGTTATCAATTTTAGAACTTTTTGTTAATTAAAATATTAAAATTTTGAAATATTGATTGTCATATGTCTCTTTAAACTCAGCACAACATTACTAACAATACCGCTAACATATAGTTAAACTGTTAAAGTTTGACTAATACTCTGTACATTGGCGAAGCCACGTTATGTGGTGTGGGGTCAATTGACCCCACTTGAAAATGAGTGCACATTAAAAAATGAATGAATCTATAGATGAGGCATCCAAGAATTGAACCTTGGACCCCATGAATATGAGCCAGCAGCTGCTAGGGGTGGCTATACGGTCCGGTCCAGTTAAATTGGCTCGAATTAATCCGATCCCAGTCCGGTCTTTTCGCGAATATAAGGACCAAAGATTGGGTTGGATACAGTCCGGTCTTGATCCGGTGGGGTTTTGACCTGGTCCGGTCCCAATTTTGTCTTGATTTTAGATTGAGATTGTGGAGATTTTAGTGGAGTTTTGGGTGTTGGGCTCTCATATCCGGTCTTTATCCGGTTTTGGTCCGGTCCCGAACGATTTTTTACCTCAAATCTAAGCCCGAATATGAAATTGGATTGTTTGTTATCTGGTCCGATCCCGGTCAGAGTTATACTGTCCGGTTTCGGGTAAAACCAAAATGCACGAACCAAATAGCCAGCACTACCACCTGTACCATTACACTATATCTTGAGTTATGTTTAATGAGTTCTGTGGTTTTAATTTTCATATAGTTCTTGGACCCCACTGAAATATTTCTCTGGCTATGCCAATGACTCTGTATTTCAAAAAGGTTGACAAATAAATTGTATTTACTAAAATCTTTTTTTGGTAAAAAATGAGCTACATTGCTCATAATTTACACAATAAAATCCACTTTAATGTATTACAAAATATAAAATATTAATTTTATAATGATGTGAATAAATAACAATAAAGGAAGGTCTTGGGGAGGTTCATCATCTCCCCGAGCCAGTCCATCACGATGGTCTCGAGCTCCGTCGCGGCCGGAGACGCCGACCAGTTGAACCCGACGACGTTGAGCCCGGCGGCGAGCAGCTCGCCGAGGATCCCAGCGGTGCTGGAGGTGCAGGGGAAGTAGGCCAAGTGTGAAGGGTGCTGCCAGTGCGTGATCCGGGAATTATGTGGGTTTGAATGTCTTTCATGATTTCTTCCATGGGTTCTGCATCAAATGGAGCGGATTGAGGGAGGAGCTCCCGGAGGTAACCGGGTTTGACCCGGCTCGTCACCGGGTACTGTTCGATGTTGCTGTAGTAGTCGGCAATGAAGTCTATAAACATGTGGCCTTGTCGCCGGAACTCGTCGGAGTTCATCGGATTGATCATGCGGGTTGCCTTGCCGACGACGTTGAACTCGTTGCTGCCCATGGCGAGAAATGGCTGCGGCGCGGCTGGCATGGAAAGTTATTGAGAGATTACCATACTCACGTACTTATATATATAGTGCTAATGAAGTTCATTTGCTAAGAGATGGAAAAATGTTAAAAGAGAAAAAAGAATTTAGGGAGGGTTTGTGTTGGCGTGTGGTATATGATTCACGATTGAAACCTCTCACAACAACTCGCGAGTTAATGGGATCAACTGGTTCTTGACATGGTATCAGATCTTTTGGTGACCGAGAGGTCTTGTGTTCGAATCCCGATGACCCCATTTGTGAAGCACATGGTATTCTTGTGTTCAGGCCTGTGCAAATTTCAAGCCCTTGCGAGTGGCTTTCGTTTGAGAGGGCGTGTTAGTGTGTGGTATATGATTCACGATTGAACCTCTCCCAACAACTCGAGTTATTGGGATCAACTGATCCAATTGTTCTGGAATCACCTAATTTGATAATTGTGTTAGTAACGAATATTGAGACTAACGAGTTCATGGGATGGTATCAGAGTCTTCTGTAATTGAGAGGTCTTATGTGCAAATTTCAAACTCATAAATGGTGGCCTCCGTTTGAGGTGTGTGTTAGTAACTGACGTATGATCCATAATTTAACCTCTACAGATAACTCAATTTATTTCGCTTGAGAGAATGCTTAAAACGATTTGACCCTGTTGTTTCATTTTAAGACAGTTAGACAAATTGCCTCGTCCAATTCCATCATCCAAACAACCTCTAACTAACAACCCTCTCTAGGTAACAGCTATGAAAATCACATGAATTTAGGGTCGTTTATGTTAGGGGAGTGGGGGTGGGGGTGAATATGGTACTAATGAACCACATACAATAAATATTTAGGTAAGATGGATGGGCAGTAGGACAAGGCACAATTAATATTATTGTGAGAGTACTGGTCACAACTTACACTAAATCACTTCGATAATATCAAAGATATAATATATTAACGGGTTAGACGGTGTATTTCTGGAGTGTAGTACTGAAGTTAGTGGTGTTCAAATGGTTACCATGGTTATAACCAAACCAAATAAGACTAAATTCCATTAACCATAGAATACAATATCATAACCAAATCGTCCAAACTAGTACAACAACCAAATTAACCAAACTAAAGTTTAATCGGTTTGGTTAATTGGTTAACCAGATTAACCAATATAAAATCACATTATCATTGACGATGAAAATTTTCCGGTTAATGCAACAATTTGCAATTTATATAATGAATAAAACATAACAACCAACACGTAGTTATAGTTGACCCTTAACAAAAATACAAGCAATTAAGACAATTATCTTACGATTAGTATAGAAGTATTCACCTAACAAAAATTTATGACAATGGTATGGGTTAATGAATTGTTGTGTTTGTGTAAATTGACTTAGTCTCTTAGCAATTATCATAGGCTGGAATTGACCTTCCTTACAAGTTTTCATCCATCATAATGTATGAAATTTATCTAAATTAGGCGTTCATATGTTGTGGTCAACATTTTACATATACAAATATACACTATATGAGCAATATTGAGCTTTATATTTTATGAGTCTAAAAGGGATGGACGTTAACTCTTGAGTGGTTATGCAAAGTATTAAGTATGTGTATATAATATATGTTAGATATATGACTAATTACTTAACTGGTTAATTTGGTTTGACTGGTTAGGAGTGTCTGAAACCAAACGAAACCACCTAAACCAAAAAAGCTAAAAACTTTAACCAAACCAAACCAATTATCCAAATTAACCAAACTAAATTATCCAAATAGTACCGGTTAAAACGGTTACCATGGTAACCAAACTGTTTGAACACCCCTAACTGAAGTATACTATACTTCAGATACTCTTAGTGAAATATCTCTAATCTAGATCATGAATTAAACCGAGTTTGATGTATGATACTATATCTTAACTTCTAATGGATAAATCCAAAGCCCTGATTCTCAAAATTCAAACCCAAAGTTCAATTAAATCGAAAACATTAATTGACAATTAAGATTGGTTGGAGCTCATTGAAACACATTTAACAGCCAAACGGCCAAATCACCTGTAGTATACTATACTTCTACAATATAGTAGTTATTATCATATATTAACATTACTATTCTTAAGAGTAATTATGACAATAGAGGTTTTTTTTTTTTTTTTGGTAAAATAGAGGTTTTATTGAAGAACATATTTAAAAGAATATGAGGAAAATGATAAAGAATGCATAAATGCCTTATTTGAAATAATTTATAGAGAATTACCGGAAAAAAACTTGTGGGGTGTTCTATTAATCCAATGTAACGGGGATTTTACAATTTGGCTATACCTACCGGCCAATGTGCCGAACTATGATTTAGTTATAATTATGAGAAAATCCAAATACCATTTTAGTAATACAAGCGAAGAGACCCTTGTATATAAATGTCCACCTAGCTCAATTAGTACGTGGCTTTTTGGAGAGGATATATAAGAGTAAATCCGTGAGGGTTTGGCCCAAAGCGGACAATATTGTACTAATAGCGCTGCCCTATTTCGACAAGTGGTATCAGAGCCTTGTTCGGTGGATTCGGGACAATGAACGTTAGTTTGGTGGGACCTTCATCGGGGATGTCATGATTTGAGATCTGCGTCTGGGAAAATCCTTGTACTAAGAAGCCCGTTGATACAAGGTGTCTACGGATCAAGATAATCACTGAGGGGAGGACACGAAGTTCGTGGTTCTTGTTTTAAGGGGAGGATTGTTATGGGACAATCCAAGTACCACAGTGGAAATACAACGGAAAGGACCCTTGTATATTAGTGTCCTCCAAGTTCATTAGTACGAGTACTTTTGGGGAGGTCCGGGAGGACACCCAAAAGTAAAACTATGCGGGCTTGGCCCAAAGCGGACAATATCGTACTAATGGAGCTGCCTGATTTCGACAAGTGGTATCAGATCGTGGTTCGGTTTGGATCCGGGGCGATGAACGTCAGTTTGGTGGATCCTCATTTGGTGACCTCGAGATTTGCGTATGTTTGGTGGATGCAGGAGAGATCCACGTCTATCTAGCGTATCAAGAGAGGTCCGCGTCTATTGGTAGATCAAAAAGTTATCTACATCTGGTTTGGTAGATCAATATAATCGTTGAGGAGAGGACACGAAGTTCGTGGTCCATTTCTTGAGGGGAGGATTGTTATGGTACAATCCAAGTACCACATCGGTAATACAAGGGAAGAGACCCTTGTATATAAGTGTGCACCAATCTATTAGTACGAGACCTTTTGGAGAGGATACACAAAAATAAATCCGTGTGAGTTTGGCCCAAAGCGAACAATATCATACTAATGGACCTGCCTGATTTTGACAGTTATCAAATAACATGTTTGCCTCCCTTTTACATTTGAGCATCTCTATTAACAAAAGGGGGGTTCTCGTTTGTCAACGACACGTCGACACTAAGGACCGGGTTGTAATTGAGCGTCATCGGCTATTTTATGCCACCCAGTAGAAACTATTCACAATTCCATGAGTAGTCCACCAAATTAAGGATGTGTTGAGTGTTGTGAGATTTAACTGATTTGGGAGACAAAGAGATGAGAAAAAACATGTTTTTTTAGAGAGAACGTAGAGAGAGTGTGTGCTCTGAAGGTTTGTTTTTGTCCGAAGTTGCTGTAAGTGACTTATGTATTAAGAGGAGGATGTGCTGCCTATTTCTAGGGGGGAAAATTACAGTTGAATTTCTTGACTTACGCCAACATTTCTCAACATTCTCTTGTATTTCCCAATACTCTTTGATATTCTCCGGCATATTTTAGCATTCTTCGTCATACACCAACATTCTTTATCAAATGTGTATGAGAAAGTAAGAGAAATATTTTGCATGTAATATAGAAAAAAAGAAAATAAATGAGTATAGCTATATAGGGAGGTTGTAAAGGGAAGGTTCTACGTATGCATGAGCATGCATATGTAGAGAAGAAAGAAAGAGGGAGGAATGAGTGTATGTTGTCTTTTTCTCTGTAATAATTCTAGAGAAGGGAGGGGGAGAACACGTGGGAATGGAAGTAATAGGGAAGAGGAGTTTGGTTGTATGCTAATTTCTTCATGCATGGTCATGAATGTGAGACGTGGTCCATACCATGAATGAATTTTTTTTTAAGGATTTTGGCAAAATAGAGGAATTTAATATTTTTAAAATTTTCTTGGTTAAGAATTGGGTCCATGTCAAGGATTTTGGTAAAATTATGGATTTTATGATTGAAGGAAAATGTTAGCTTTTTTTATTTTGAATTCACTCCCCCATGTATATATCGTAATTAATTTTACCACTAATAAATAATTTGGATTGTATTATCTTTATTTTATCTGTACCAAAGGTTTACATAGCCCAGCGGTGAAACCCTTAGTAGGCCCTCGTTCTGGGAAGTGGCAGATCCTGTGTGTTCGACTCTAACTGAGCCCCGCTATGGTTTTCGCAGAAGCATTTAACGATGATCTTAGTGGAGGGCCAAAGAGCTCATAGGTTATACAAAAAAATCTTTATTTTATCTGTTTAAAGCAGAGAAAATGGATGAGGTTAATATCATATTTTTTCCATATATATTATCTCAATTCTCCCTCGAACATGTAAAGGGAGTTGGGGAAATTCATGCAACTAAAAGTACTGGAAACAATAAGATGAGAGTCGGCCCTGCAAAACCAAGCATTGTGAGTTATAAGCAAAACTCATGAAACGTGAATGAAGCGGCCAACACAAACGCTAGTGAATCCAACCCGTGACAAATGGATCACTAATTGTTCCTTTTAGTGGTTCCCCTAGACTTGATGAGTGGATCGATCCCGTGACAAATCGATCGCTAGTGGATTGATTTCGTGGGTTCGATCACAACCACCTACACCACACTACTCGATTCAATCCAACGAGTCATGATAGCTAATATATAACTTGCAATTTGACGATGGTGGGGGGAATTTGATGACCCTCAAGTCTTATCTTTCAGAGGTTTTGGTCCTCCCATGATTTAAACACTACCTTAATACTGTTTCCTGTCACACTCAAATGACGATGCACTTGTTAATTACTTTGTGGTCCTTAAGATAACAACGGTTTACTAACCCGATCATAATAAACTTCATTACTAATTTTATATACATTAGAGCTTGGTTGATTTCATCGCGCTAGAACAAAAAATAATTAAATTTCTCTTTTGCATGTGCTTATATTGGTCCATCATGTGTTTATTACTACGAATGAAGACTTGAAACTCTCTAAAACCAGAGTAATTAATCCATAATATTGAATTGATATCGGGACGTTATATCAGCAGATAGTTAATCATGTTATTATTATATTTGTAATAAGAGTTTCCCAAAAAGATTAACAAAGTATATCCTGAATCTCCATCGATACATACTTTCACTTGAATTGAATTGCACATGCCATGTTGAAATTCATGTCCGAGAAAGGTTTCATTGGCTATTTAGGAGAAATCATTGGCTAAGTTGGGAGATTGTGAGGAAAAATGAAACACTAATAGTGACACTCCTGGAGATCCATGGTCCATAATCAAAGAAAATGATAATGTGTCTCTTTATTATCGATTGAACCCAAATTCGAAATCACGGTATTACAATATATATAACATTCCATTTCACTCGTCATTCTTTTACATTTTTAGCGAATCAATAAAAATAAAAATAAAATCCGAGCCAAATTATTATACGCAGTACATATGACTCGGTTCAGATCAAATCGTTACTTACCGTATAATAATCCCATTTTAAGACGAGGTGCTTAAATAATTAATATAGGTGTATGTAATCACCCTGGATGGCATCGGCATGCTCTTGAATCACCTTCCAAGCTTCCATCACGTGCTCAGGCTCCGTGAGAGTAGAACCAACAGCAAACCTCAGCAAGTAAATCCCGCCCACCAAAGCATGGGTCATGAACACCCGACCCGACCCGTTGACCCGCTCCAGCAACTTCTTGTTCATCAAATTATTAGCACCTTCATCGCCGCCGTCGTCGTCGCTGCCGCTGCCTTCTGACGTCCTCGTCATCCTGAAACAGACCATCGCGAATCGTCGAGGGACGACGACCTCGAACCTGTCGTCCCCTGCGACGAGCTTCTCGAACGCCTTCGCCATCGCCACGTGGCCCCTGAGGAAGCTCCTCAGGTTGGCCACCCCGTAGCTGCGGAGCACCATCCAGAGCTTCAGGGACCGGAACCTCCGGCTCAGGGTGAGCTGCCAGTCCTTGTAGTCTATCACGCCCCCCGAGTCGGAGGCCTGGTTCCTGAGGTACTCCGGGTTGGTGGAGAGGGATCTCTTGAGCGCGTCCGGGTTCTTCACCCACAGGCAGCAGCAGTCCAGCGTGGTGAAGAACCACTTGTGCGCGTTCAGGCTGAACGAGTCCGCCCCCTCGACCCCGTCGATGACGTGGCGGAACTCCGGGCAGATGCAGGCGCTGCCTCCGTAGGCAGCGTCCACGTGGACCCACATACCGTGCTGCTTTGCCACCTGGCAGAGCGGCTGGAGCGGGTCCACAGCAGTGGTGGAGGTGGTCCCGATCGTCGCGCAGAGGAACAGCGGGACCCACCCCATCTCCACGTCGGCCAGGACGGCCGACTCCAGGGAGTCCGGGGACAGCGCGAACGACGCGGCCCTCGTCGTCGCGACGGCCCGGACGTTCCCGGGCCGGATCCCGACGACCTTGGCGGCCTTTTGAAGAGCACAATGAGTCTGATCCGAGCAGTAAACGACCAGCTTCCCGATCTTGTCCTTCCCTATTTCCGCCAGCTTCTGGTCCCTGGCGGCGACGAGCATGACGATGAAGGCTTCACAGGTGGTCCCCATGATGACCCCTCCGCCGTCGCCGGAGAAGAGATAGGGCTTGGGAAGGCTGAGCATCTCCCCGAACCAGTCCATCACGATGGTCTCGAGCTCGGTGGCGGCCGGAGACGCCTCCCAGTTGAACCCTACGACGCCGAACCCGGCGGCGAGGAGCTCGCCGAGGATCCCGGCGGTGCTGGAGCTGCAGGGGAAGTAGGCGAAGTAGGAAGGGTGCTGCCAGTGCGTGATCCCGGGGATGATGTGACTTTGGATGTCTTTCATGATTTCTTCGATGGGTTCGGCTTCATATGGAGCGGACGGCGGGAGGAGCTGACGGAGGTAACCGGGTTTGACCCGGCTCAGAACCGGGTACTGCTCGATGTTGCTGTGGTAGTCGGCGATGAAGTCGATCAGCATGTGGCCTTGACGGCGGAACTCGTCGGAGTTCATCGGGTTGGTCGTCGTCGTCGTCAGCAGGGGTGTCATTGCCTTGTCGGCGACGAACTCGAAGTCGTTGCTAATGCTGCCCATTGGCGCGAGAAAGAATGGCTAGCGGCGGCTGGCATGGGAAATTATTGTCAGATGTACGTACATCACGTAACTCGTTAGATGCAATATAATAATATTGTATTAAAATTAGCGATACGATTATATTGTATTAAAATCGTGATTCAATCGTTTCGTTTTTAAAAAAAAAAGTATAAAGATAGTAGTAATATAAATGATAAATAGAACGTTTAAGAACGTTAAATCTTACTATTTTCACTTGCGGCAAACTACGTCGGTACCCAAAACAAAGCAAAGCACAACCAAATAGGCGCGCAGGGAGGAAAATGAAAGAGGCAAAGAAGTGAATTTAGGGATGTGACGATGAGTTAAGGCAAAGAGAATATACATTTCCTTTTTATAGGCAGGAAGAAGAGAGATTCAATTAATTTTTAAAGCACATTATTAAGAGCACATTTTCCATTCAAAACCAAATTAAAATGAATTTAGGGGTAGTTGTAAAACTTCATGAAAATTAGTGTGAGATGTCGGTTGTCACGTACTCATGGATGCAATATAATACTATTATTACATTTTTTTTCTTCTTCTCAAAAGAAATTGTAACAGACATAATAATAACGGCCACAAGAGATGTGAAACTATACGAGAAAAATTAGCGTTACGATTATTTTGTGGTGATTCAATCGTTACGTTTTAAACAAAAGAAAGAAGGTATAAAAAAAAAATTAGTCATATAAATAATAAAATAGAACACATAAATTTATGGGGGGAAAAATCTCACTATGTGAACTTCCAACAAACTCCGCCGTTGTCCAGACCAATGCACAACCAAATGCGCCGGAGGAAAATGAAGGAAGGAAAGAAGTGAATTCAGGGATGGTGATGAGTTAAGGCAAAGAGAATACGTTTCCTTTTTATAGGCAGGAGAAGAAAACCCCAATACAATGGGATAGTTGTTAAAAATTCATTTTGTCTCCAATTTTTTTTCGGTGTATGTACGTAATTGTCATTTGCCTGTTAAGCGCCAAATATTAGGTGTTTTTATTTTGACGATAGTTTAGTTGAGATTGTTACCGTAATGCATCATTTTTTTTTTGAATTTTATGCACAAATAGTACAAGTATTGTTTGCCTTATTTGACACAAACTATCACTCAAAATCAGTAAGGATGATAATGGGTCGGGGTCAGATAGTGCATATATCCATACCTTAGCCAAAGTTAATTTGGGTTATACTCATTGGCATACCAATACCATATATATATATATATATATATATATATAGTATGATGGTGTATATACTGTATCGATTTAACCATACAGAGGAGGATTTGTAAGATTCCTAGTAAAGTAGTTTTTGAGTTTACTCGACCACATGTTTGTTCATTAGTTGTCCAATTAAATGGGATAGTTGTCCAAATTCCCTTTCATAGGCAGAGAGAGTACATTTTCTTTTTGTAGGCAGGAGAAGAAAACCCCAATTAATTGGGATAGTTGTTCAAATTCATTTTCCCACCAATTTTTCTCCATGGATTTAGTTGTCCTTTGCCTGCTAAGCGCCACCAAATCTAAGACCCTTCAGTGGGACAGGTTACGTTTATTACTATTTTGTAGTAATCACCATGGTTACTAAGAGTAAATTGGGTATGAAAAATAAATTATATTAATTATTTTTTTTAATAAATTACATTTTAGGTAGTTACATGAATCTATTAATTACAATTCTCTCTCTTTCTCTCACTTCCATGATCTCCAGCTACATCCCCTTTCCTTATTTTTCTCAATCTTTCTGCAAAAGAAAAAAACACGAAATCACTACCAATCCATTAGACAGCCACTACCACTTTGAAAAATATCAACACTATTGCAAAAATAAATCTATACCATTACACGAAAACTACCAATATAAATGATCTACCAATATAAATCTATACCATTACACAAAAAATCAATACCATTGCAGATTTAATCAATACCAATACATGCAAATTAATACCATTACATGATAATCAATACCAATGCAACAAAAACAATACCAATGCGACAATATCAATACCAATGCGACAAAAACAGTACCAATGCGAAAAAATACTACCACTACGAAAAAATCACTACCATTTCACATAACAACAATACCGTTACATAATAATCAATACCAATGTGTAAATAAATACCAATATGAGAAAATAAAAAAAAAAACAGATATGGAGTCCAACTAATGGTTGGTGGGTTCGGTTGTGGGTGTGGGGAGGTGAGAGGGATAGGGAGGAAGGAGGAGAGAATGGCGGCTATGGGTGTGGGGAGGGGAGAGGAGAGGGATGGGCAATGGGAAGGAGCGGAATGATGGTGGCGGCGGACGGGTGGTGAGGATGCTCGTCGGGTAGGAAATGGAGGAAGGAAAGAAAACGAAGAATTGTTAGGTTTGGAGATAATTATTTAGGGTTTTGGAGAATATATAGAAAGTAATATTTTAAAGGTAGTAATTAGGTGTGGTTGTTATTTTTTTCCAAAATTATCCCTAATCAATTATGACCATCAATTTAAAAATGTTGAGAATGGAGGGTGGAGATGCAGGTAGCCACGATGTTTACTAAAAAATTAGTAATCATCCTAACTCATTCCCCCTTCAGTGCATTCGTCACTTATGGAGGATTTGTAAGTTCGCAATAAAGCGGTATTTGAATTTACTCAGATTACATGTTCGTGTCATAAAACAGTTGGTCCCAATGACTCGAGTTGTTGGGAGAAAGTTATGATGGAACTTATATCACATTCTAACGGGATGAGATACGGTGACAACCCTATAATGGGGTTGTGAGATTGACAACCCATTTTATAACCATAGGATCCATTCTCTCTCTTGTCTCTTTTTTTTCCCTTTTCAAATCAATGGTACAAGTTGGATTAAGGGTATTTTTGGACGAAAAAAATTGACCACAATAGATTATTACCCCTATTAATACCTAAAACCCTACATTCTCTCTTTCCTCTCTCTCTCTCTCTCTCTCTCTCTCTCTCTCTCTCTCTCTCTCTCTCTCTCTCTCTCTCTCTCTCTCTCTCACGCCATCTTTCTTTTTCTTCTTTCTTCCTATTCTTCTTCTTCTTCCTCCCATCTCTTCCCTCTCTCTCTATCGGCTGCCACCACCGTCGTCACAGCCATCATGTGGACCCGCCACGCCCTCCGCCTCTCATCACTGTTGCAGCCCTCCCATTGTCGCGCCCTCCGCCTCCCAGCACTGTCACGTCCCTCGCCCCGCAGCAATCGCGACCTCCTCCTCCCACCACCGCCGCGCCATCGCCCTCTCCCCTTCGCAACCCTCCCGCCGCCCTCTGTCTCCCACCACCACCGTCACCACGAGGTCACCGCCTCTCCCCTGCCTCCCCTTTCGTCATTCCTGATTTTTTTTTTCCAAATCTGTGATTTTTCATATTTCAGATATGATTTTTTTGTCCTAGTCTCTAGTGGTACGCTACCAGTGGCAATGGTACCGCTACCAGTGGTACTGGTACTACTACTGGTAGCGTACCACTAGCACTGGTATATTAATTACCAGTAGACTAATGGATTGGTACACTTTTTAACGCACTGGTACATTTTTTCAGGTTGCTGGAGGGAGTCTGCCGGAGAGAATTTGCCAGAGAAAAAGTCTGTCAATCGAAGTGGAGTGGCCGCAGGAGAAAGGAAGAGAGAGAGAGATAGATAGAGATATTAATGTATAGGATTTAAATTTCAAAAACAAATTGTATTTAATATGGGTTTTTAATTCCCAATCTGATTAATGCAAAAAGGTAATTAATATATTCCTTTTTTCATACCGAAAATACCCTTGGTTGTCAATCTGACAACCCCCTTAGGGGTTGTCACCGTATCCCGTCCCCATTCTAACACGCCCCCTCAAAAGAAAGCCAACTCACAGGCTTGAAGTTTGCACAGGCCCAACATACCTTGTGTTTTAATCAACTGTTAATATTGTGGGTCGTGGATGTTCGAACATACGACCATTTGGCCAAACCAGCTCTGATACCATGTCATAAACTAGTTGGTCCCAATAACTCGAGTTGTTGGGAGAAGGTTATACTGGAACTTATACCACATTCTAACATTTCGTTCATTAATTGTTCGATTTTTTTTATATAGTTGTTTATTAAATTGGGCAAATTATCACTCATAAAAAATTATGGAGCCAAAAACTATTCAATATCCGACAGTGGAAAACATATATTAAACTTAATTAGGGTTTTATGGGAATCCTAACTAAACCTAGTATATAAACAACATAGAGGTTGTGGTTCCCTATACACTAATACCAAAGTTTACATATATTCTCCCCATTAGAACTACGTGAGAGGAACTTAACTACTAAAAGAGGCTTGGTTGAGGAAGGTCATAAAACCTCTTGGCTCGTGTTCTATGAGTACCGTTCAGATTCTGCATCAAGTTCCTAACGATCAACTGGCATGATTTCAGATATTTCAATAAACCTTTATAATCTAACAAGATGAATTTCTATATATTAAGTTTAAAATTCCAATGAGTGGTATCAAGGTCATTTTATCTTTGTTAGGTTATTAGGGTTTGGATGATAGAGGACTATTTATATTTGTCCCATGTATGATTGGTTTTTATTTTTCGTTTTCTGGATTCTTTTGATGTGCCATAGTTGAATCCCATATGGTGACCTCCCAAAGTCAATTATGTTACTTACCGGTCAATCACTATAAATTTTACACCAGCCAAGAGTCCTTCCATTGTTCTCGTTATATATTTTTTTTTCTTCTTCTTTTCTTGTTTTTATTGGAATTTAGGCTTATGATTGCCTGGTTGAGGTAAATATTTGCTCTAACAGTATTGCAGACTTGCAGTGTTGGAATTTAGGCTTATGATTGATGGTTTGGCTATTAAATTATTTTCGAAAAGATTTTACTATTATTTTGTTTAAAATAAAAGGTTTGATTATTAAATTGTATTTACCCTAATATCTTTCTATTGCTGCAGCTTTATCCTTATTTCATATCCTGACTAATTTTTTTACTAATTAACATCGTGACCCAAATTATTACCAAAATTTAGTTATTTAGCGTAAGACGAGCGCTAACCGTTATGTTTGATGGACAAAGTTGGTGACTAACGGTCAATTCGTCATATCACTGCCTAGTCGGCATAAACCTATTTAAAATATTTACAATTTCCAAAAAATACAAAATTTTGGATTTTGCCTGGAAAAAAAAACTATCTATTCGGAAGCGCCATTGCCTTCTCCTTCGTCTCTTCCCCACACATGAGCTGCAAAACCAGCACCAGTTTACCATAAGCGCCTGAGAAGCTGGAATACAGCCTGTCTTATAAGGCATTTGTGGGCAATTCTGTCAAACTCTTCCTCGCTGTGGGCAAACTGGGCAAGGCAATATCAACTGCAATTTATAGGGGTGTTCAAACAGAGTGATTATCGTGGTAACTGTTTTAACCGATAGTGTTTTGATAATTTGGTTTGGTTAATTTGGATAATTTACTTGGTTTGGTCAAAATTTTAAACTTGTTTGGTTTAGGTAGTTTGGTTTGGTTCCAGACACTCCTAAGTCCTAACCAATCAAACCAAATTAACCAATTAATCATTTGGTCATATGTCTAAAATATATTATATACACATACTTACTAGTTAATACTTTGCATAACTACTCAAAATTCAAATGATCATCCCTTTTAGGCTCATAAAGTAAAGCTCGATATTGTTCCTATACTGTATATTTGTATTTGTAGAGTGTAGACCACAACATGTGGACGTCTAATTTAGATAAAACTCATATATTATGTTGGATGGAAACTTGAAATGAAGGTCTTTTTTAGCCTATGATAATCAATTCACACAAACACAATAATTCATTAACCCCATTGGCATATATTTCCATAAGGTGAATACTTCTTTAGACTATGATAATCAATTCACACAAACACAACAATTCATTAACCCCATTGACGGTAAAATAATTGCATTGGTTGCATGTATTTATAGTAAGGATTAAATATAACTATGTGATGATTGTTATGTTTTATTCATAACATAAATTATGAATTGATGCATTAACCAAAAGAATTCTCATCTAATGATAATTTGGTATTTTATTGGTTAATCTGGCTAACCAAACCAATTAAACTTTAGTTTGGTTAATTTGATTATTGTATTAGTTTGGACGGTTTGATTATAATATTGTATTCCATCGTTAATAAAATTTAGTCTTATTTGGTTTACTAATTACCATGGTAACCATTTAAACACTCCTATCAAATTACTTCTGTTTGGTACATTCCATCTACAATAAATTTCTCCTAGGCTTGGAGGAAGTTGGGTAAATTATCTGAATCTTGAGAGCAGGTAGTGATGTTGCAATGGTTGGGAGGTTGATATGTATGATGATGGTGAGTGAATTGTGGAGTATGCTGGTCAGCTACTGGTGGAAGATTAGTTCCTTAAAAAAAGATTCAAGAACATCTTAGATTGCTGAGATATGGAGTTCCTGCTGTTGCATTGATTTTATCAGATAGCTTGCTTAATAATATTGCTCTTTAAACTCTGTATATCTCTGGTTGTTAGAATGTAATAAGAATACTGCTTATGTTGTAATTGATGTAGAACTTTTAAGGTGATGAATAAAATGGCTTATTCGTTAAAAAAAACAATTGATACTTATTCATAATTTTGTAAGTATGAGAGAATTGTCTCATATTTTGATTAAATTAATTTTTGAATATGTTGCCAAAGTAACCGGTATGGTGAGAATTGGGTTGAATTAAAATATATGAATGCACGTTCAAGATTATTTATGTGGGTATTGTTCTGCTCAAGGGAATAATGGTCAAATAATCAACTACAATAATGGTAAATATGTGATAATTATAAAATTATTATTCATAATGTTAACAGCCGATCGAAAGATGGGCTGTTGTTTCACAAAACTTATCTTAAGTATCTGATCGTTGTATTAAGAGTGTTGCTCGCAGTTAATTTCTGTATCCAAAGACTAAGATTAAATGTTGTATTTGGTGATCTTATGTTGTTGGCCGGCGGATACAACATTGCATCATTATATCATTGTTTTCCCAACGAGGAAAGGAAAACGAGATAAGTGTGCTCCAATCGTCTTCTCCGTGAATTGGGGAGGAGGCAGAGGAACGACGACGATGGAAGGGAAGGGAGGGTTAGTTGGAAAGAGGGTTTGTTTGGTTTGACATTTAATTTGACATTCAAATAGGCAATTGTTTAATTTACATGGGAAAATTAGGACGACGTTTAGTAATTTTAAAACAACCTTTAGCCATCCAACTCTTTATTTACCTCTTTTAAGCCCCTCTTCCTAATTCCCCATTTTATGCACAACCCGCCAGCAATCTTAAGTCATGACCTTTTATCCATTTGAACCAACATGTTAGTGAATTAGGGATTAAACAAAATCTACCCAAAATATTGTATTTTCTTTATTGGACATATTCAACAATAAACTTTTTTATGTTGTAAATTAAGAAAAAATATGTGGGAATATTCATTTTAATAAATCATTACGGCCTATATAAAAATAATAATAAAAAATGATTTAGTTAAAATGATGAAGTCTACATTAAACAAGATTACGAGAGAAAGTTGGAGTTTGGAACTTTATCGGAACAAAAATTCACTTTTAAGGGGCTAAAATGTCAAATATAACCCCAATTTTTAGCACGTTTAGAATGTTTATTGAAGATGATCTAACCCATGATTTATTCTAGTTCATGTCGTAGGTTAGTCCCTACTCCTACAAACAATAACTGCTATAACTATAAAAACAATGATTACAACTACGTGTGGGAAAAAAACAGCAAGAACTACAACCGCAAAATCGATAACAACAACTATGATTTTGTACTACTACAACAATCAATAACAACAACTATGATTTTGTATTACTACACCTCATGATAGAAAATGAAGCTCTCACCATTGTTAGCCTCAGCTTTCAGGATCTCCACCACGTCCAAGCTGGGACACAAATATTTACTGGAATTTATTAATTTTCTCTCTATACCTTTCCAACAACCTGGGACCAAAAATATCAAAAAGCTGGAAATTAAAACTTTTGGCATCATTTGTAGCATGATGTTCTCGTTTCCTTGTCAAAATTTACGCTAAAAGACTCGGCTTGTTGGCGTTTCCTTTGCCTCCATTAGCCGAGTTGAGCCAAAGGGATGGTTTGCGGCCCAATTTCTTTGGAGCATAAGGAGTAGCAATATCACCGGTCTTGAATTTGTAAATCTCAAGGTTGAATTTTCTTCAATAATATCTATCCGTAAAAATCAATATCTATATCTATATATATAAAAAGAGCAATCCCCAGCAAGTACATAATATCGACCAGTTTTATCGCCAGCTAATTAACTCGTAAAGATACTATCAAGTGTATTATATTTATATTTCTCACGTTTATGAAGAGGGGCGATGACGACGAGTGCGTAAACTACCTGACAAATGTAAAGCAATAGGGGGTACTGTTACGTGGAATCGAACGATAAACGTAAGAAAGAGACTTAGAACGAAGAGAATGGGGATGCAAGAAGGCTACCGCTAATAGCAATAAACTGAAATATTCTTCTTCGTAGACTGAATAGAACTAACGTCGTAAGTACATATTTATAGGGCTAAAATCCTAAACTAATTATAATTCTACTAAGCAAGGATTACTTGGCCACTAGTACTCCAAAAAATACAAATCCTACTATGATTAAAACATCATCTAAATAATTCTTCTATTAGTCGAAAATCTCTAATAATAATAATAATAATAATAATAATAATAATAATAATAATAATAATAATATACGTAACAGGGACGTGTTTGAGGAAAAATAACCCGTTTGAGTCGACAATATACGGATGCCATAGTTCGGGAGTATCCATTGGAAAGAACGCGCTATTCTCAAATAACATGTTTTGCGGTCCTGTTCTCCATTTGTGTGCCCAGTTCCCACGTTCCCTTCCTCGCCCTTTCTCCCTCAACTCCTTTCCTTTCAACTTTCAAGCTTTGTCTTTTTGAAGGCATGGTAATGGGTTTGGTTTGGACGGATTTCTCAAAATTATGTTCATCTCTCTTTACAAACAGGCATAATTATACATGTTTATGCCTGATTTGTACCAGGCGGTTTATGGGATTTCATTGACTTCGTACATGCTTTGATCGTTCGAGACGGTCTCGCAAACCCTGCAAAAAAGGTTCTCAGGGGAATCCTGGGACCTTCTCCGATGCCAAAGCTGGTGAGAGAAGTGAGTGGATTGTAAAAAAAGAGTGAGAAGTAGTGGTTCGAAGTTACCTTAAATGTTGTCCTTTGGGGCTATTTATACTAACTCTCGCCTAGGTTGGGCATTTAATGGCATGTCGGGCGCCCTGTGATGCCTCTGGACTCATTAATGCATTGTCAATACGGATAGGGGTGGCTATACGGTCCGGTCCGGTTAAATTGGCCCAAATTGATCCAGTCCAGTCCGGTCTTTTTGAAAATATAAGGACCAAAGATTGGATTGGATACAGTCCGGTCTTGATCCGGTCCGGTTTTGATCCGGTCCGGTCCTAATTCGGTCTTGATTTTACATTGAGATTGTGGTATTTGAGTGGCTTAAGGCCTTAAAGGGTGAGGAGTTGGTTAAGTTTTGTACTAAGTGCAAAGGTTTGTGACCGTTTAGGCAAATTACCCTTAAGTTTTGGGTGTTGAGCTCTCTTATCCGGTTTTTTACCTCAAATCTAAGCCCAAAGATTGGATTGGATTGTTTACTATCCGGTCCCGGTCCGGTCTCGGTCCGGGTTATACGGTCCGGTTTCCGGTCTTTAATCCGGTCCCGGTCCAAATAGCCACCCCTAAATACGGATATCTGACATTCTCTGTACATAATGGGTCGAGGAACCGTTGGTCCTTTATGTCGGGCGGTTTGGGACGCCTATGGACTCATTACATGCGTTGTCAGTACGGATATCTGACATCCTCCGTACCAAAGTGACTAGGGGCCGTTGGTCTTTTATGTCGGGCGATCTCAGCAGGGTGACTGCGTATAGAATGTCGGGTTGAGTCTGTTTGTTTGTGAGCTTTGTAACCATGGGCCTTAGGTCCCACGTGTTCCAATACTTGGCCCAACAATACCCACCTCATAATATTATTGTCAGTAGAAGGCTAACTCCATCTCCATACCCCACGATTTTTGAGTACTCATGAGTAGATATATGTCCCATATATCTAATATTATTATATCTTAAATTTAACATGTAGATATGTAAATTATAACATTTAACGGAATTAATAAACTATGAAATTTAACAAAGATATAACCACTCTCGATACGAATTCAAAGCTTTCGACATGTTGTCGAATGGGTTGCGGCGGTCCATGATATAGTGCATAGACATATTGGACCCTTAATTTTAAAGATGGGGCTAGATCTAATGAGAATTAATCAATTATTGTATTCTAGGCATTAAAAAATTATTTTTATGCAATAAAAAATTCTAATCACATTTACTTCTCCATCCATTGGTTGAAATTTCTATTTACTACTCGTCAATTAAGAAAACCGTGGGTTTTTTCCAAGTATCCATTTCTATTGTTCTCTTTGTTTGACATGTTTATTTTTCTTGAAATGTGTTGTGTGAGTGTTTATAGATCGTCCTTGATCTTTGAAACTTCTAAAAAGGAAATAACTTACCCATAAAAATTAATACCAATTTAGTAAGTTAGAAAAATACTAGACTTTGATATACAATATTCCAACCAATGATACTTGGATTGTGATTTAAGATTGTTTTTCATTTATAAGTTAGAAAAATAAACTACATTACTAGATAAAATTAAATCGTAATAAGCAAAATATGAGAATTGTAGTATCAAGTATCATAAAGATACTTACAGAAGACTTAGCAATAGCTAACTTGATGGAAAAGTACTCTCTTTTCATATTTGAATTTCGTGTATATTTTGTAAGATACAACAAATTTGTTTAGAGTTGCCAGTTATTATTATTCTCGTCTTTTTAAATGGATTCTAGTTCAAATCTTGATATTGATATCTTTGAATATAAAATATACTCGAACAAATATAAAGACCAAAAGAAATCGATGGAAACCCGAAAACACGACTATGTTTCAAAGAGAAACAAGTGCCCTGTTACCAGTTCTTTTTTTAGCTGTGTTGTCACTCATTCGAATAGTCGCAAAGCCAAACCCAAAACTGATTTGTGCAAGACAAATCAAAGATGCAAAAGTGTGTAATCTTACATTAACTACCTAGTAGGATAGAAGGGATAATGTTATTCACATAAACAATTGAGGTTAGTTAGCACTTAGCACTCCTAACAATGTTCATATCATCTGCAGGAGATCTTGTACCACTTCAGACATAGCCGGCCTGAACTCTGGTTCCGACTGCATCATCATATATAACAAACAAAACCAAACATTTTTATTACCTCAAGGTAAGAAGTGGAGAAATGAAATACTCATGAACATAAATGTCTTTCTAGAGTTTGGCTTGCCTGAATGCATCTGGAGATAATATCGGCGAAACGAGACAAAGACTTGGCAGGGTATGAGCCGACCAGCGAAGGGTCGACCATTCTCGACAAGGAATCGATGTCGTGAAGCTGTGAGATCGCCCATCTCACCAGATACTGCTCCCCTCTAGCACGAGAACTGGACACAACAATAGCAACACGTTTTTCAGGAGTTAGATCATGAACGAAAAACCATTGGTTTTGAAATGATTTGTGTGGCAAAGGAAAGAAAAGAACTTCAAATTGTTTGTGATGAACAAAAAAACCTGTCATAGGACTTCCTTCCTGTAAGGAGTTCAAGCATTACGATCCCGAAGCTATACACATCGCTCTTGGAGCTGTAGTGGCTTCCTGAGTCCAACTCAGGAGCAGTGTAACCCTGCTGAGAATTAATGTTGTGCCGTCCAGAGAACTGGTAGGAAATGCAATATTCAAGTTTTGAGAAACAGTTTTGATTCTGGTCTCATCCCATTGATAAAATAAACGAGTTTTACACAGCACAAATACATTGTTGTTCTATGTACGAATGAATGCTTACCCCAACTGAAGTCGAAGAAGAAGACTTCAGAGACCCTAAACCGGAATCAGATACCTTTGCTACTAGCTGGAAATCGAGAAGAATGTTGGCAGACTTAAAGTTTTGGTGGACAACTGGAGGTTGGCAGACCTCATGGAGATACCTATTCGTAAAGATTAAAGACCAGGCAAAATTAAGAAAGCAGCTTTAATGATCAGTTTGTTATGTGCATTGGACATCAAGTGAACTGAAGGAGAGGCATTTGGGCTTACTGCAGGGCTCTGGCGGCTCCTAGTGCCAGTCTGACACGCTTGTTCCACGAGAGCTTCCCATGAATCTCCTCGTCCAAATGTAAAGCATCATGCAAGGTCCCATTTTCGCAGTACTCATACACAAGTAACTTGTGGCCATGCTCGATGCAGTAACCAGCAAACTCCACGATGTTGGGATGGTTGATTCGAGAGATGGCAGAGACTAGGTGAAGGAATTTTTCATCAGTTATTTGCCCAGAAGCTGTGGCATTTAGCTTCTTGACTGCCACTAGCTACATTGCACAAAAGAAGCAACCAAGGGTAAGAGAGAGTTCCAAACTAGACAAAAATTAAAAATTTCCAGATAATATTCATTTATAGTCGTCGATGGATATGCAACTAGGAAAGACAATACTAACACAGAAACTATTGGACTACTAGTAGGGGTGGACATGGTCGGCTTCAGTCTGGCTCCTGTGAAATTCACTTTTTTCCTTTGTCGTTAAGAAAATCCATGGAATTGGAACCAGATTACAATCTCAAACTTGAGAAAAAAGGTAAAAAATTCTATTCGATTTGGTCCAATTCAACCCAAGTATTGATTCTGTCCAATTCGCACAGGTGTGGACCGAATCATTGACCACCGCTAACTACAATTCAGTCAAATTATTTTAGAATCTATATCTTCTCTAGTTTAGAAATTAATTTTAGAGAGATTAAAATGATGATTATGAAAGAAACTACACATTATATCCCCTATAAGACATGGGTGGTAAGCTAGGAAAGAGCTCTTACCTTCCCATCAGAAAGCTCAGCCTTATAAACACGGCTGAGAGAGCCTTCTCCAACATAGTTCTCTTCTGCAAAGCTGTTAGTATACTGTTGTAGTGTTGCAATGGTGAAAACTCCAGCAGAGGACAAGTCCTTATTCATTTGGTTCTCATCATTGACGGTCACCTTGTTGTCAGGAGGAGGAGGGCATTGCTTTAGGGACGCACCAGTTGAACTCGAAGCTATTCTCTTCTGATCTGATGCAACTTGTTCATCCTGTGTCTTCAGGCTACTCTCAGGTCCTTTCTGTTCATCCAGCTTCGTGACCAATCCCTTTGGAGCTGACCAAAACCACAGGTACATATGATTTAGTATATGAAAGAACAGATAGAGATAGGTCACTAGTTCCTGTTTCACGATTAATATGTATATTGCCCAGGTTAAATTGGTCATTGGTTTAAAAAGTAACAGTTAGACACCAACAACTGCATGGAAACAGTTACCTCCGTGCTCTTCATGATAAACTTTAAGAGAAGCTTTATTCTGCGACTTGTCATCATTAAATCCACGAAACTCAGCATCTTCTGGATCTTGTCGAGCATATTTTCTTTTGCAGTATATTGGCAGGCAGACACACAGTCCTAATAGGATGACTGCTGTTGTCCCAGCAGCTGCAATCACGACTTTCTTAGTGTTGGAAGTGAAAGCTTCTTTCTTTTGGCCTTCGGAAGGCTTTTGTTTTTCGGGGTAAGATGGCCCGAATCCTGATATCCAAGGTGGCTGAGCAGAGGAAGAAGGTGACGGTGATGAAACTTGAGGAGGTAGAGGTGCAGGAGGGGAAGGAAGGATCGTTGTGTTGAATGGATTCCCATCTTTCCTGAAAAGAACGAGACATTGCCATTTACTAAGATACCACAGGAAAAGACAATGGGGATATGGCTAGCTGAGGTGATATCCTGCTTTAACAAATGCATGCATGCATTATGTCCTTCGTACATTTTAAGTCCTTCCCTTACGATTTTCATTCAAGCTCGTTACTAGTGCGGTAGAGCTCAATCCATAGTCAGTAAGCATGTCCTATATGACCTACATGTCCCACACATAGAATTTTGTACCTCCATTTAACTCTTAGATCCCACTATCCTCTTGTTTTTTAAGACACTTATGTCATTTGGGGCTTAATGAGGCCAACTTAGGGCGGAGCAGAACACCAAGTTTCAACTTACATAGATGTTGCGAGGCATCAAGGACCAGTTGATTAAGCTTGTGCTGACCATACTATTAATTTAGTTGCTGAATTTTGTAACATAAAAACATGTTTAACAAACATAGCATAACCCACGGAAAAACATAAATGCAGCATAAGAATATCAATCCTGATCAAGCATATGCAGACATTTTACCTGAAATTGGGTATGGCTGACAGCTTCGATGGTATAGGCCCTGAAAACAGATTGTTCTCTACATTCCTACAGAGAAAAGAAGGGGAAAATTTTTACACTACTGACTTGTGAAATGCTAAAGGCAATTTATCAGATTCAGTAGAAGAGAAAACTTACAGATCTTGAAGAGGAAGATCCTGAAGTACATCAAGAGTCCCAATAAGTTTATTTTTCTGCAGCTGTCTGCATAACCAAACCACAAATGATACCTAAGGCAAGGAAAAACAACAGAGCCGATTGTTGTCCTAAATTTCAATTTGTCATGTTACTAACACTCACAGTGAGCTAAGGGATAACAAGCTTCCCATCGATGGAGGTAGCAAATCACTCAAGTTATTCCATGACAAGTCTCTGTACAGTCATAAAAAAATCACTAAACAAACATGTTGAAATCTACAAGTACTGTTTTAACTTATAAATGTGCATTTGAGAGTTTCTTACAGGTTAACCAAACTGATAAGCGGTTGAAAGGAATCCGGTAACCCACCGCTCAGAAAATTATTGTTCAATGACCTGAGAAAAAAAGGAATCACAGATTGCAGATGAATATATTATATATATGCATTAACCCAATACGAATCTCTTTCGGTTCGAACTTACAAGTCTACGAGCTGAGTTAATGATGATAACGTGCTCGGAACACTTCCATTGAACTGATTCCCAGCTAGAGAGCTAATCAATTGGAGAGAAAGGAACAGACTTTTAGTTGAACTCCCTCCATCCAATTTCAGTAGAAGTCATAGACAGAAAGGCTAGAAAGATGCTTACAAGTTTCTCAATGTAGGAGGAAGAACGATTGGAATGCTCCCTCCAATATGATTGTTGCTGAGATCTCTGCTCCAAAAGAAGAATCAGCAAAATGGTTAACAATAACTTCGACCTTGTTCTTCATTGAGTCGTACAATACAGCCGAAAAAGAACTTCACTTACATTTCTAAGATAGACTCAAATTGTTCAATGCCAATGTCCAATGTACCTCCAAGATTCAGCCCATTCAGTTTCCTGGACAAAAGGATAGGGGAAGAATCTCATCAGGTGAATAAATTATACCGTAAGGTACTGTTACCAGTCGATTTTTACCGGTTGACTTGCTAACTGACTACTAAGTCAACACAATTTTTTATTAAACTTCATCACGATTGTCACCAACACTGCTTTTGAATTGCATACCACGACTCTTTTGTGTCTAAGAACACTACTGATTCTACAATCTCCTCTTTTAAGTCCAATCAAAATTTCAGCTACTTCAGCTTAAACTTCAAGTTAATCTAAAACACCAACAAGAAACTCACAGAGCCGTTATATTGGAGAAAACGCAGCTGACCCCTTGCCATTGCTCCCCACAAGGGTCTCCTCCAACTGGCTTCCATCCTTGCAATGGCGGCAAGTTCAGAGAAACACACAAGCTGTTCATCGCAGCAACTGCAACCATTCAATCCAAACCAAAAAGAAAAAGTTAATAAACCCAACAAAAACAGAACAGTGAAAAGATAAGAACTTTGGCCGTCTACCATCGCGAGGGTCGGTGTCAGCAGAGACAAGCGAGGAAAAGAGGATGAGTAGAGAGCAAAACCAAACGACCCGCTTGAAGAACTCCATTGATAAAACCTTGGAAGCTCAAAAAGACTCGAACTTTACTCAAAATTTTCGCTGGAAACGAACAGGGTCGAGTAGGTAGGGGGGGAATTTAAGAGTGGGATTTTCTCTCCAGGGAAAACGAACCTATAAGGAAAGTGAATCGTTTGAAGTAAGGGCTGGAATTTAGGAGCGGGTAGTAATTAGCATTACCATATGAACCTTTGTTTTGAACCCCCAAAAAGGAGTTTGTGCAGAAAGGAAGCGGCTTTGTCTCTGGAGCCTCAGCTTTTTTTGCTTAGCTCGGTGGTAAAAGAGAGGGAGTGAGTGAGGTAGCAATTTTTAATAATTAAAAAAAAAGGCAAAAAAAGCAACGGTAATGATACAAATTTGGTGGACTGTTTGGAATTGATTATTATAGTACTGGTACCATAGTCGTGTCTTTTCAAAGACCCCACAGTGGAGAAGTTGTCGGGTAATTATACAAATTGGTCATACAATTTTGATATTTGTACAAAATGGTTGTTATACTTTCTCAAGATGGTGGAGAATTTGTGATAGAATGATTTATTTGTTGTCAATCTAACCTCTCAGATCATCCTAAGTTAATGAGAAACTAGCAAAGTCCACCCCATGCAATTGGAAGATGGAACCAACCTATGGAAATCATCGGAAACTCCGATCTGGGAAGAAATTAGTACCTAATCATTTATTAGATGTAGATTTTCTTTTTTAAATCTTACTAGGTGTTTATGTGTCGTGTTGTACTGTGATCTAAACAAGTTCTTTTTGCATCGTTTGCTAACCCATCAAGCTCAAAAGTGTGACATAAAAAATGAATGAAACACAAACTTCATCTCGATAAACTATTGAACTAATCAAAAGGTATCACCAGGGTAAAAGAACAAACCATGTGAAATATTTAGGGATATTGAAATATCTCCTACTAACTGAAACTAATTTTCTAACAAATGAGATGCTAAAAAATATGTCAGCATTGGTAACGATCCAGCAAAGAATCATTTAATTGCATCCAGAAAATGAGAAAAATATAGTTTGCATCTTAATCATGCATGACCTTCACGTAAATCACCAATATCCAAAATTTTCAGTTCATATTGATCAAATTCTATCAAAACCAAGATCGTAATCACACAACATTCCAATTAGTATGCTAGAGTTTATTGTATTGGCCATACACATGTTACCCCTGAACAAATGAAAAGCATAGGGAAAAAATTTAGAATATAAGTATGAGTTATAACGAATTATGCAACTTTAGAAGTCAATCCAATGATCAGAGTGGCGGGAAAGTTGTCCACGTAAACCAGCCTCAGTATGTTGAAACAAAATTAGAGACTCCATTATATAACCATACGAGAAAATAAAACATATCTAGAGAAAATTATACAATATGACTCAGATTGTCATACTAATTATACAAGCCAATCCAATGATCAGAGTGGAGGGCAAGTTGTCCACATAAACTAGACTCAATATGTTGAAACAAAATTAGAGAATCCATTATATAACCGTACGAGAAAATAAATTATACATAGAGAAAACTATACAATACGATTCATATTGTTATACATAGATTGTCATATATAAAATAGAAAATTTTATTTGTTTTGCTTGTGTTTGTTGTAAGGGCCCTTCCATCTTCTCGAGATTGTCATATATTTTCTACCATTTTCTTTAAACTAAATATTTATCCTGGTAGGAAAAACTAGGGATACTCATTTATAATCTGACTCAGATAGCTGTCATTGTCAACTAAAGTACTGTATCGTACGCTGGCTCACCTGGTAATAACCTCTTTTTGTTTTGAGTGTATAAGCGTTATAATGGAGATAATTTAGGTAAGAGAGTCGATTGATCAAGAAGAAGTGGGCCAAGCAGGTCGATGAGCTGAAGTAGGGAGCTGAGCAGGTCGATGAGCTAGCGTAAGTGAGACATGAAACTACTGAAAACCAAGATAATCCCAAGTGACAATGGACGAGATCCGAAGATCGTCAATAAATTGAACATCATATTTGCTATAATTTTTGCATGCTCTTCTCGACATGTTGCTTCTTTCTTTGCTTTTCAAATTGTCCTGCCAGCGAGGGAAGAGATCTCGAGAATGTTAATTTTCTTCATTGTTTATTGCAAACAGAAATTGAGCATTCGCTTACTCAAGCACTAGTACCGTCTAAGCATCCCACAGTTGATTAAAGAGTACCGGTAATTGGTTTACTTTATATTATAAGATCAGATTCGTTGCTCTTGTAGTAACAATATTACTTGTGATCGCCTGCCAAGTCGATGTCATAGTCTGATTTCAACGATGCATTCACTTTTTTATAGGAAAATCGAGAATAATGATAGAGATAGTAAATCCAAAATAAATTATCATCGACCAATTTTGACGAACGAATCAATATTTATGCATTTTTAGACCGAGATAAAGATTTAATTTAAATAAAATGATAGAAAATATATGAGAATCTAGAGAAGATGGAAGAGACCTTGCACCAAACATAAGCAAAATAAATAAAAGAGTTGTGAAAACTTCGGAAAGCAAATATGCTCCCTCCACCACAATAGCCACATGTTGGTGAAAACTCCTATGGATTAGTCAAAAAACAATAACAGTGGTGTAGGTTAGAGAAGCCTTAGAGAACAATAATCCTTATTTAAATTATTCTTTATATATATATGGATTAGCCGAAAAAACAATAACAATGGTGTAGGTTAGAGAATCTTAGGGAACAGGAACCCTTATTTAACTTTTTATATATTGATTATTAATTAATATATATGGTTTGCCTTTTATAGCTGAGGTATACTAGTTTCTGATGTTGACATTAGTTTGGTGTAGTTTATACTAATGTGACATGAAAAAAAATATATTGTGAAATCATATTGTACGATTGGTCAGACGGTAAAAATAGTCTATCACAATCCAGATCGGTAGGGTACATAAATGTAAAGAAAAAATCATGTTGATTTTAGATAATTAAATTGACAATCAATAGTAATGCTGGTAAATTTTCAGTACTATACCAGTATAATGTTAGATAGAATATTTTATTTTATTTTAACAATGATTTTACACTTATATGCTATCGATTGAACCATATTTTTTAAGGTTGGTTGAACCATATTCATACTACTAAATTATATACTGATTTTAAAAATCTCATGTTGCTATTGGCCAGGATTCATAATTCATCCCTCATTTCCCGTTCTGACCGACTCCCTCGTGTGGAACCCTAACACTATGTTTGGAATGTTTGGAAGAGAGGGTAAAGGGAGGGGGGAGCAAATGATAGGTGCAAATACACAACCCAATAATTTTTCTCATATTTGGATAGTTTGTTATAGATGACCTGGTGAGGGGTGCAAGAGAGATGAACAAAAGTATTATTTCCCCCTCCCAAATTGGGGGTGCAATGAAAAGGAGGAAAGTAGGTGGGACCAAATGAGTGTGAAAAGTAGTGGATGAGGGTCATATATGTGAGAAGGAAAAATAAGGAGTGAGACCTAAAGAGTGTTAACGATAATATTTTTTTGTTTTATTATTTATAATAATTATTATAATAAAATTTATATCTCATTTTCAATTTACATCCCGTACTTTTTTCTCATAAACAACAATTTATACCTCAATTACATCCCCCCCCCCCCCAACAAAAATAATCCTCCTACAATTTACACATCAATTTTCACCCCCTCCAATTTGCACCCCCTCGTTGTCAAACATAGTGTAAAGCACAATGGATGGAGAGCAATGGCGGCGTTGAAGCCGGCAAGAAGGAGAAATAGACAGGTTAAGCAAACTTCCAGAACCTGTTATCTCTCACATCCTTTATTTTCTGGATAAGAAATCCATCGCACGAACAACAGTATTGGCACGTAGATTTCGAGACATTTGGAAATCTCTGTCTGCCCTTGATTTTCGATTAAGATTCAAAGCTAGGGATGAAGACTATTCTGTTTTCAAGAGTTTTATGGATTAGGTTTTTTCGGTCCAGGATAGGGATGACGATCTGTTGGGGCTCTCCTCGGCTTCCTGCGTCGTTCTTTTTCTCTCTTTGACAATGTGGATGCAGATGCTGGAAAAACTCAGTTCATGAGATTCGTTAGATATGCGTTATCCCTTGAGACTCGAGATTTGGTATCATCTCTTATGTAGAGAGACCTAGATGTACGCTATCGTTTCTCCACTTTATTTGGCACAAACTCAAGGGAAAGGGTTGAGAGTTTATTGCTATGCGGTGTGCACATCAACAGAGAGTTTGTGTCTTTTTTTAGGGATTCAAAACTTTGGTATTGAACACTTGCCTACTTGATTTTGAAGTGGCATGAAATCGTTCTTTTTGCCAACTTCCCACGTCTAAGTAAGTTGGTCCTTAATGGGTGCAGCGGTGCTAGGTTTGATTGGGACGATGAAGGGGTTGACTCGGACAATGACAAAGCTAGTGAGCGACTCAAGATACCTGTAATCTAGTTGCTTAGCCTGCAAATGGTGGGACGTGTGGCTGCTGCATGGAAATAGATGCAATGAATCCCATGTCCTTCACTCTTGAACATGAGTGGTCTTGTCTTAACTTCTCCAGGTTAACCCTTCCTTCCCACGATTATGTTTATGCTAAAATGATGGATGAAGACGAGTTCTTGAGTCCGCGTCACGAGGGAAGAGTGGTGATATGTGTAAACTATTTGTTCCAAGGTTTATGTCATGCAACCACTCTTGTGTTGGATTCCACTACCATTGAGGTGTTATTTTGTTGTTAATGTTGTTGTGAATGAAGTGCTTCCTTCTGTGATTATCACCCTTACGATGTTGTTAATTTGGTTTATGCTTTCTGCAAGGTTTGAATGAGATTTCTAATTTGTTTGAACTCCGTTTGTAAGATTGCACATCTTAAAGGTGAAGGGTGGCATTCTACCTGACAACGAACTGGTCACGTACATTTTTTGAGAGAACAGTCTGACGATTGAGTACGTGTGATGCAACTGTTTAGGGTGTACTGGTATAGTCGTATAGATGTAGTTATATGCATATAAGTATTTGTACATGACTGCTAGTTTTTGCATGTTCCTATGAGCCCATATATTTGTAGGGATATCTTTTGTCATGCCCTACTGGTTGAATATATTTTGTTCTGATGCCAAATTGAAATCCAGTGATGTCGGCTCATAGGGTTTAGCTGACTTTTGTATTATCGATTACTTTGTCCTTGTCTTTTGATTCTTGCTACATGTTGAACAGAAGAAGTTTGATAACCATCTGGCATCTCGAATGAGCGCAACACATGTAGTGTTGGTCAGTGCCTATTCGAACGGGTGTAGAAGTATAATATGTCTAGAAGTTGAAAAATCCACATTGTTATTAGATGAATGGGTCGGAATTTATAATTCATCCATCATTTTCTGTTTTGGCCGACTCTCTCACGTGAAACTCTAACATTATACATTATGTTTGGAAGAGAGGGTAAAGGAAGGGAGGAGCAAATGAGAGGTGCAAGCTGCAAACACACATTTCAACAAATTTGCCACAATTTGGATAGTTTGCTATAGGCGAGGGCTGTAAGTGAGAGGAGCATAGTATCGACCCCTCCCCGGCGCGGGCGCGAAATTGTGGTGCAGCGAAGATGATGGAACATGAGGGAAGTGGGTGTGGCCAACTGGGTGGTAAAGGAAGTGAGTGGGGGCCAGATACGTGAGAAGAGAAAGAAAGGAGTGGGACCTAAATAGTATAAATTATAATATTTTTTATTTAATAATAATAATTATTATTATATTAAAATTTATATCTTATCCTCAATTTACACCCCTACCTTTTTCTCACTAACAACAATTTACACCTACTTAAATTTACTCCCCCACAATTTACACCTCAATTTTCATCCCCCCTCTAATTTGCTCCCCTCATACATAGTGTAAAGCACAAAAAAATTGAGGGCAATGGCGACAGCGCGGAATCCGGAAAGAGGTGTCAGCAAGAAGGAGAAGTAGACAGGTTAAGCAAACTTCCCAAACTTGTTCTCTGTCACACCCTTTATTTTCTGGACAAGAAATCCACCGCTCGAACTACCATATTGGCACATGGATTTCGAGACATTTGGAAATCTCTCTCTGTCCTTGATTTCCAATTTGAAGTTGGGGATAAAGACTATTCTTCTTTCGAGAGTTTTGTGGATTGGATTATGTCGGTCCGGGATATGGATGACGATCCACCTGGGCTCCCATCAGCTTCCTGCAGCTTTTTTTTTTCTTTGTCAATGAGGATGGAGATGTTGGAACAACTCAGTTCGTCAGATATGCATTATCCCATAAGACTCAAGATCTGGTATCCTCTCTAACGTATAGAGACCCAGACGTCCGCTACCTTTTCTCCACTCTGTTTGGCACAAACTCGGGAGAATACGTTAAGAGTCGATCGCTATGCGATGTGCACATCGATTGAGAGTTTGCGTTTTTTAATTTTCAGAGACTAAAACCTTTGATATTGAACACTTGCCTACTTAATTTTGAAGAACGTCATGAAATCGTTCTTTTTGCCAACTTTTTATGTTTGAGTAAGTTGGTCCTTTGATGAGTGTTGCGGTGTTGGGTTTGACTGGGACGATGAAGGGGTTGACTCGGACAATGACAAGGCTAGTGAGCGACTTAAGATATCTAGAATTCAGTTGCTTAGCCTGCAAATGGTGAGATGTGTGGCTGCTTGCATGAAAATAGATGCATCGAATCTCAAGTCTTTCAATCTTGAACATGAATGGTCTTGTCTCAACTTCTCCAAGTTACCTCTTATTTTCATCGATTATGTTTCTACTCAAATGTGGATGAGGACGAGTTCTTGAGTTTGGATAACGAGGGAAGAGTGGTGACACTCTCATTTTTCAACTGAGTCATGAGAGAAGTTATTCAACACGACCCCTACTTCCAACAAGGTCGAAATATTGTGAGTCGCCTGTCATTCTTCCCCAAACAAAAGCTTACCCTTCCCGCACGTGCGGTTCACTGTCGCGTCGCTATTCGTCTTCCTCCCTGCCAGCTCCCCCCTTCCCCTCCTCTTTTTGTCCTTTTCAAGAGGATAAACACTACCAAAAAACCCTTCTTTACCTTTCTTTTTTCCTTTTTCCCTCCCCTATTGTGGCCTTTCCCATCATTTTGTATACTTGTTTCCCTCCTTACCCATCCTTGTTGTGGGTGGTCTGA